TCCTAAACCCTTCTATGGTAAATTATAAGGTATCCTACCATGAAACCATATTCCAACTGTCTGGAGTTCCCTGTAAACCTGCAACAATGCTGCTTTTCTCTGCAAGTTGGATTCCTGGAATTAGCTACGAACGTGCTCTGATTTGGAAGTTGAGCTCCTGCACGCTCGCGTCCGCAGTCAGCGTGGATCATCGTGTGACTTATCGCCTTTGTCGAGATACTGACTGTGATGCTTTTTGTTCTGATGGCGCTCGACTGCGAGTGTCGAAAACGGAAACCCGAAATCCGGATGTCTCGGACATTCCGCCAAGGTCCGAGCTGAGAACAAAATGGACGGTGGTGCAGGAGTTTGGCACAGGTCTCAGACACTGTCACGGCCTTCTTGCAAACTCTCGTGTCTAGAAGCCAAAGTGGTAGCAGCACGAAAAGGAGGAGGAGGTTCCGAGAACGACTTGTGCAAGAACATTGGGTTCGGAGTTCTGAGCGGTCCAGGCTCTCGTTTTTGCTTCGGCGCTTCAGCTCGGGCGGTTCCGGTTTAGGGTGCTCTTAGGTGTTCCGGGCGAGAGGGTGCTCCCAGGTACCAAAGAAGATGTCCCCTCCCTGGGGTTATCCTAGTTATAACCTACTTATAACCTTACAGTTGGGTGCTCCCAGGTACCAAAGAAGATGCGTTGCGCTTCGTGCTGGAATGCCAACCGTTTCTTGGCGTTCTTCTGGTTGGCTCTTAGGACTTTAACTTTTTGGGGCCCAAAATGAACTATTTTCAGGAGGCTAAAGGTTTAACTTTTAGGAGGGGTCCAGAAGTCAGCCAAGTTACTTGTAGCATTAGTAACATTAGTATCAGTATTAGTATTATGAGTATGATCATTATACAGTACATTCATAGTAGTATTAGTATTATCAGTCTTATCAGCCCTTATGAAGAATCTATAAGGACCTAGGGCCGTTGGGGCTCCTCTTATAAACCCAGCAAGGAATGGAAATGTACATGTTTAATCCTATTCCAACCATGAACTAGGTTAATTTTCTGGGGTTTCTATATGAACTATAACTAGGATGCTAAAAGTTTAACTTTTTAGGAGGGGTTCAGAAGTCAGCCAAGGTTTGACTACCGCCCGGCTGGAGATGCTTTCGACGACTTCCCTCGCTTCCAAAACAGCCCCTGGGCCCGGTTCAGCGGTTTTAGGGCTTTGGGATGCAGATAGGGTTTAGGGTTTGGCGTTTGGGGTTTAGGGTGTAGGGTGTCAGGGCTTTGGGATGCAGCCTTGGTTTAGGGGTTTGAATTTAGGGCTTACAAGGGCTTGTAAGGGTTTAGGGGTTGAGAGGTTTTAGGGCTTTGGGATGCAGCCCCTCTCTTCAACAATTTGTGATTTTGTTTTGGGAAGGCTTGAGGGGGCTAGAAGCTCCGTTCGTTTTCTTTGAAGCTGCGCAGATCGTCGTTTTCGGTCATCGATCCAAATCTACACGCTGAACCCAAGCGCTAGAACCTGAATCCTCAAGTGGAGACTTGGTCTCTTCGCTCTGAGCTTTAATTACGGGCCTTTAGCAGTTCTGGGCAGCTGACAATACCAAGCAGGTTTGTAAAAGAACTGAACACCATGAACGGGCCAAAGTTGGAAGAACCTCGGCCTCAAGGGCAAGCTCTCCTTGGGAAACGCCTTCGCGTCGGGGCTGGAACTTCTAGGTTCTTCGTTATGGAACGCTCCAAGCTTTCAGCCTTTTCTCACTACTCAAAGCATCATGAGACTTAGTAAGTAGGTTTTAACTGATAGGGATTACAAGTCCCCTCAGTGGGGTTATCCAAGTTATAAGCTACTTATAACAACCTTACTTACTAAGTCCCATGAGCCTTTAAGTAAAGCAAGCCGAGAGCCGCAAAACTGAGCTGAATCCCTAAACCCTAAACCCGAAGAAACCGGAAACCGGAAGCACGCCCGTACCAGTTCAGGCAAGGACCGCTTGGCCTTCGTCATGGCGCTGCAACCTTTCCCCTCTGAGTTTCAAAGCCGCTTGGATAGACAAGCTATAAACTAGTAGCATATAGTATACTACACTCTATTATGCTATACTATACCAATGGATATCTGGCTTCGGGATTTGCTGTTAAGGCGTGTTTCAGGCAGGGGGATTGACTCCAATTGAGGGGTTTGGGGTTGTTTGGCGTTTAGGGTGTATCCCCATGAGTCGTTGCATCAAAAACGCTCAGCCAGCTCTTTTCGCAGGTTCGGGGTTCACGGTATCATGTTATCGGGCGAAGGGTTGTGACAACGGTTGGGGGTTCATCGTGCGGTTTAGGGTTAAGAGTCTTGGTTGCTGCCGCACTCGCGTGCATGTACAAGTCTGTGCAAAATGGTCGTGGTTGCTGCCCATGGACGCCGGGGCATTCCAGAGATTTCAGGCAACAGGGTTCAAAGACCTACCATTTTTCCGCTTATAGGCTGTGTATAGAATCATTGTAGAGTTGAGCTGCACAGACGGCGACTAGAACCACTCTCTGAAATTCATGAAATCTTATGTCTTGTTGGGATCACTTGGGAAGCGGTGAATCGTTAAGTTGAGGGTTTGGGTTTGTGGTGGTGCTTTCGCGGCCGTGCTTTCGCCGTTGACCTTCGCGTTTCTATTTACAGCAGCGTCATGCCTGGTACCTAACACAGTAGCCGTAACACCAGCCTCAGTGGCAGCTTGAAAATGCAGCTCCTGTCCGCTGAAATGAATTGCTGGGAAGGCCTAGAATCCGTCCAAGAGTTGCAGTGTGGCCTGTTCATCAGGAAGTGACATGACAAATGCAGAACCTGCCCCTTTTGCACAACCTCTACTGTCTTTTTTCTGTTACTGGCACGATTCTCTCTCTCTCTCTCTCTCTCTCTCTTGCTCTTGTCCTGGATCCCTTAGCCGATGCAGATCTCGCCAGATTGGCCAAGTTGTCAGGGTCGAAACCCGAAGCAAAGTTCAGGTTGTGAGCCCGTCTTCAAGCGGAGACTGCGGTTGCAGCTCGCAAAGGAGAAGAGCATCGATATCGATAGTTCTGTGTCTTGTGGGTGCTTTTTCTTCGGACATTGCCACTGAAGTGAAAGCTAGTTGCAGGAGCCACCTGTACCTGTGCCCAAAATCTCTGTAAGTTGCCAGTTACTAGAAGCCTCTGAGACTGAACTGCCAGATCTTGCTTATAGGCAGGCTGGCCGTCGATACGGGCAGTAACTACAAGAGAGAACTTCCAGAATGTCGTTCCCTCCGACAGCCCCATCTTCGCACACGTTTTGCTGCAATTGGGGACCACGTAAAGGCTCATGGGACTTAGTAAGTAATTAAGGTAGTTATAAGTAGGTTATTAGGATAGCCCCACTTAGGGGACCTATAGCCCCAATTATAACCTACTTACTAAGTCCCATGATCCTCCAAGCAGGGAAGGAGTTCAGGGAGGCAATTGCGCAAGTCCTGATGTAAAAGCGGGTTTCGGGAACAGTCCGAAATTTGAAGATGGCCGCACAACCTAACTCCGGTTCAATGATCTTTTTTTTAAGCCTCCTGCCACACTCCTCAAGCGCCAAATCCTAAAGCTGCTTGCTAAAGCTGCTTGCAACTTCGGCCCCTGAACCTCAAGACAGAGAACCTGTAAAGCCCCAAACCCCACAAATGAACGCCAAGAAGATCCCGTGCAAACTCGGTGAGGAGGGTGAGCAGAAGCCAGACAGCGCTCAGAGGAGGACGAAGCCACGGCCGAGGACTCCGGGTACTTACATACCGTAGTTTAAAGCGTCACATGGGTGTTTTGGGTTTGGATGTGTTCACGTCCAAGGACCAGGAAGCTTTCTTTGCCAGAGTGGGGAAAGCAGGGTCTGCATTCATCGGTTTGCGAGATTCTTGGTTTTGGCGCTCATGATTCGAGATATGAGTTGTTGGATATGTGATATAAGTCGATACCCGGCTGCGACTTTACAAGTACACCGTTACTCTATAAAACTTAAACTTTAACCCGCCATATTCACCCCTTATAGAACTTGTGTCAGAATCGTAAATCGCCACAGGACCATGGGCCAGCCGAGCTCGGACGGAGCTCGGTGGCAGGTGCAGGCTGATTCTTGCAGGGTTATGGGTTCAAAACCCTAGACCCCAACCTACCAACCTAAACTCTAAATCCTGAAGCCTACACTGCAAATTCTAAACCCAGGCCTAAACAATCCTAAATCCTAAACTCTTTTCTTCAAACCCTCAAATTCGAGTCTCCGAGTCGCCCCTCTAAACCGCCCGCGAGGCTGCCGGATGTCTCTTCGAGACTCCTGGGCTCCGCACACTCGCCGAGAAGCCGCCGGGGCAGAGGCTGGGGTTTTAGAGGGTTTAGGGTTTTAGGCTACTATTTGCTTAAGAAACACCCAAAAAATGAAAATAATAATTCCTATATTACCCCCATAAGGAATATATTTTTTATTTTTTGGGTGTTCTTTTGCAAATAGTAGTAGGGTTTCAGGGTTCTATTGGGGTTTTAGGGTTTCGGGGTTATAGGGATTAGGGTTTTAGGGTTTAGGGTTAAGAATTTAATCTAGGATGTTTAGGGTTTAGGGTTACTCACAAAGGTTTCAGGGGTACGCAATCCAAGCCTATGCAGCCCATGCTGAAAGCGTTTAGGGTCCGTCGGGTTGCGAACACGAGTTTAGTAGATGCAGGGTTTAGGCGCTTAGTAGTTGCGGGCTTAGGAACTGACTAGGGTTTAGGGTTTGGGCTGCAGGCGTTGCTTTTTCTAGGGTTCAAGCATCAGGGACCTGCTGTTGCGAGTATGGCCGGTACGGTTTTGAAGAATTTTCGACTCTCGCTTCTTTGTCTCTGTGTTCATTCATGAGCTGCGTCCTATTTTCATGACTATCGGCTGAGGGTTTGGGGTTTAGGGTTTACAGGTCGACTTACACAATGTTGTTCCAACTGTCAGATCCGTCTTGCTGCTGCATGGCACTAAGAGCTGTCGTCACCATTGCTTGGACTGTGAGTGGGTCTTCTATCCAAGCAGGCATGTTCTTCTTCGTTGTATTCGCGATGACAAGAGTCATGATGCTATGTCGGCCGTTGTACCTGGCCTCAGTTCTCAGCTCATGGAATGAGTATGGCGCCATGTTTGGTTTACCACATGTAGTAATGGCACCACCTGCAACTGCAGCATGTTCTTCTGCATGAAGTGTATGTTGATTATGATACTGCCCAGGTGATGTTCAGGTATTGCTTATGCAGATGATGAGGAGGTCCAAGAAATGCATGGCGAACCCGACACCAAAAACCATACTTTGAACAATCTGCGAACGCGTGCACCCCGGCCCCTTAGCACTGCAGTACGGCAGGAGCCCTGTTCTCAGGGTGTCGCCAAAACCCCTTAATTGGTAACAACAACATTCCCATGCCGGCCGCACAGGTACTACATCGCCGTGCCGCCGGAGATGGAGAAGAAGGCCGCAAGGGCATGACACGAGGGCTTATACCGGCTTATACCTAGTTTCATAGGTTCTTGCAATGGTTTGGTATCGTTTTATTAGGGAGTCAGTCAGGATCGTCTCTTCTAACCGGTTTCTACGGGATCAGGGGGCCTTGGGGATTTTAGGAACTTTGGGTTGCAGGGCTGAAGGGTTGCATTTTTGACTGTAAGCCCCAGAAGTCTGAACCCTTCGCAGACTCCGCAAGCCAAAAGAAAGCCCACAGCAATGGATTCGTCTATTATCATTTGTCCAGCTCTCGGGCCTTTGCAGTCCGAAGTTCCTGGGCTTATGTGACTGACTTGTCTTCAGTTCGAATGAACTGCCATAAGTCTGCCATAAGTAGTCTTGGATTTCTGAAGTCATCGATCCCCCTGTCAAGTTGCGAGCTGTGCAAGTCGAGGTGCTTGTTGCATGCATTCTGAATTCGTCTTTTGCGATGTGGGCACCCACGGTCTGCGGGGGCTGTCAATGTAGCAAACGCTTCGCACCTTGAAGCCTTGAGCCGCCCGAAGGAGGTGAGGTGCCGGGGAAGAATTGAACATTGAGCCCTTCGGAACAGTAGGGGGTTCACCTTGCTGAGAAGAAGTTCTGATCCAAGGAGATGGCAACCCTAAAACCTGGACCCCATCCCGGCCATGCGAGAGGGCCCATAACCATACCATGACATACACCAAAACCACTTCTAATGATTCCAGTGATTACCCACAGGCTCCATAGTAGTTCCTTTTTGGGATTACGTTTTACTTACCCCCTATATCACTATATTCCTCTGCACCCTTAGATTGACCTCCATGTCTTTGAATCGCCGGGTCGCAGGCCAACGATCTACGGTGGTTCCTTTAAAGGGTTCCCTTTAAAGGGGTCTATTAGGATTACTATACAGGATTAACTACCAATGCCAGTTTTTGGGAGGTTCCTTGTTATATTTATAGTATCATGGGCCCCAAAGCCCCATTCTAATTATTGAGGCCCTTATATTGCCGTGAAGAGTAGGATCACAGCGACACCATCAGAATCAGTTCCAGCAGACTCGAAGTTAGGACTTCAGGAGCTTCCAAAAACGCAGAACCCTAAACCCTAAACATAAGCCTGCCGCTGTTCAGCCAAGTACCCTGCAACGCGGGCCTCGTCCTTGCTGAGTAGGAGGGAAAAGAACCTAAACTCCCTCCCAAACCTAAACCCGACACTGGAAACCCTGAACCCTAAACCCTAAGTAGCAGTGGAGACTCTGGAGCCGTGCCTGCGAGAGCGAGTGTGCGAGTCGAAACCCTAAAAACCTGGAACCATCAGGTGCTGGCAGAGGGCTACCAGCCCCAAATTCGCGACTCCATTCCTTGCTCCTGTTCGCCTCAAGAGGCGGGCTGCTGGGCTTTTGTTAAGGAATGTAACAACTTGAGTGTTACCATATTCCTGAATGTATTGTATGTGCTATAGATCGCTATTCTATGGCAAGTTAAAGTAAGTACCTAAACAGGTTTAGGGTTTGGGGTTCCGGAGGCTGGGAGGGTGCCATAGGCTGCGTTCTTCGCTATCGGCCAGAGCCGTGGATGCACACCTCGTATCGGTTTAGGGCTTAGGGTTTAGGGTTTAGAGTCGCTAGTATTCTATACTTGAACAGATGGTGCAGTGATTGCGATTGTTCTTTTCTCTCGAGGGATCTTCAGCTTAAGCTTCAGTCAGTGGTCTTCTACAGCTTTTCCTTCGAACTCTGGCCTTAAAACGGGGCTACGAGTTTCGTGGGCGCTGGCCGGCACCTCAGTCCGTGCTGAAAAGAGTCGTTTGTCTATTCCGGTGGCATGCGGCGGTTCCAAACCCTAAACCCTGTCGGAAGTGAACCTTGCTGTATGGTTTGCAAAAGCTGGCCTGACACCAAACGTGCCATCACCAGCATTGAGAGGAAGCGGTTGAAGCAGAGGCTTGCTTCAATATCGGCTTCAGACATCCTGGCATTACCTGAATGACCCGAGGCTATGGGAATTCTAGTCTATTCCGTGTTCTGGGTAATGCAGGATTTTATATCATCAACGGTAGTTTGGTTTTGGCTGTGGTGACAGGGATCTTTGCCACACAGGGCAGCGTTTCACATTGTTCCGCTTCGTACTTGAAGGCTCATGGGACTTAGTAAGTAAGGTTATAATTGGGGTTATAAGTCCCCTAAGTCGGGTTATCCTATATAATTACAACCTACTTATAACCTTACTTACTAAGTCCCATGAGCCTCCAAGTAGACCCTAAACCCTAAACCCTAATTATAGAACCCTATAGCACCCTTGAAAGGAACCCTAAGCCCCTTACTTACTAAGTCCCATGAGCCTTTAAGTAATCCCTTGTCTGAAGCTTCAGCCCCAGGTTTCCAAAAACAGATTTGACAACAGTGTACTATAGAGGCCTGAATGTAGAGTTGCCAATACTATATTTTTGGGGGGTTCCTTATTCTAGTTATAGTATAATGGGCCACAAAACCCTATTCTGATTAATAAGGCCCCGATTTTGGAACTAAACAGCACAGTGTGTGAACGCACCTTCCAGAGCCTGCTCGATATCAGGCTCTGGCAGCCTTCATGAAGGTGACGAAGAGAATGAAGGAAGAGCGTGAACAGCTGCTCGGACGACGATTTATGCCGTAGGGCACAGGGGTGAGATTCAGGTGGGGAGTTTCGAAGGTTTAGGGTTCGGGGATCAGGAGAGCTAACATTTCGGGGTTTCGGTCCAGTTCTCGGAGGGTCCCCCTGCAATGGCCACAGCCACGGTCCTCGTTGCGGTTCTGAAGTCTCTAGAGACGCAGCTTGTGCTGAAGCCCACTGATCAAAACTATCGCAAAAATGTTTCGAACAGTTTCACCTCCGACCAGCTTACTCTTGGTATTTTACACAACTCAGAAACCCTGAAGCGCGGACTCCACAAGGGTCCCCAAACAACCAATGCCTACATGTCTTGTTCTTTGACATGAACAACCCGAGAAGCCTGGGCTGAGAGTTGTAGCATGATATGATGCACGCACGTCCATCGGCGGAAGTATGGGAGTTCATGATGGGAGGAGGGTGCTTGCATGGGGGTCAGGGGAGGTTCGTGACAGCATACACGATGCGTGTCCTTCTTGCGTTTACTTCTCTCAACCCCAAGACCCAGCAGCCCACTCACGGAAAGCCCTAAAGCCCGTTGAATCCCGAAATCCTGACTGAGCCGTAATGCAGACCTCTGATTTACAAACCCACTTTTTCTTTAGTGACCCTAAAGATCCCTGCTATCATCCATACAGAGGCGAGGGTGGGTCTATTGATCAGAAACCTAAACCCTAAAAACCCTCGAGTCAAAGCTGATGGTTCTCGGCTGGTCACGAGTGCTTTGGAGAGGGTTTGCTTTTGTTGGATCGTTTGGCGGCGTTCCTGGATTCTGCTCGAAAGCACTCCTGTGTAGGTGCTGTCATGTCTTACCTCGACTTCCTTGTAGTAGCGTAGGCAACCTTTTGCGTTTTTGGGCTACTGTTGTAATCCCTGTATAATCCCAAAGATTTCCTTTAGTTCCGCTAGGACCCTAGGATGCTGGACAAGCAGGGCTTTTGTGGATCCTTGCCTGCCTTGCGAGTTGCGAGAAGGCGAACCACTTTCAGCTTGAAATTGTCAGTCTCAACCCTGCAGCCATAGACTCATGACAAATAGAAAGCTGGAACATGGATCGGGATGAGTACTGCTGGGATGCCCTCTACGTTACTTGAAGGGAATGAGGATAATGATGTTCCAACGTCCTGGCTTCTACCCTAAACCCCCAAACCTCTTTATCAACTATCTATCTATCTATCTTTGCATATATATATATATGTATTCTGAAACCCTTCGACCCGAGGGTGGACAAGAGGAAGAAGGAGAGTGGGAGCCCCAAGTCTTTCGCGGTTGTCGGATTGCGTTCGGTGGTGGGCTTTGGGGGATTTTGGGTTTAAGGGTTTACGGTTTGTCAGGGGATTAGGGTTTAGGGCGTGTTAGGGGTTTGGGGGATTCATGGTTTTTGCACGGGGTTTTAGAGAGGTTTGGGGGTTATGATGGGCTCTTTAGAAGGGTTTTAAATGGACTTGAGAGGCTGGAGGTCTTTGTTTGTTGGTGCATCATTACGGAGGGATGCACCACTATAAGGGTTCTACTCAAAGGATTATGTGGCTAGTAAGAAGGTTATAATATGGGTTATAAGTCCCCTGCCTAAGTGAGGTTATCCTAATTATAAGCCACACATAACCTTACATACAAAGTCCCATAAGCCTTTGAGTATTCCTAGGCCCTGTATCTCACCAGGGGGCCTTAAACACCTACTATTGGAGCCACATACTGTACTCGACGCACACTATTTCAGGGTACAAGGAGGGTGCTGGTAGAACGGTCTAGAAGGAGTCTGCTGTTTGAGAGTTAGCTTGGGGTTTCTACACTGTGAGGGTTCGACAAGCAGGACGGCGACAGATCAAGCAGGTGCTTCAGAGGGCGAAAGGTATGTGGGCTTACCATGCAAGGATGAGCATGTACTGTACTCGACTGAGTCCGCTCGATTGTGCATCGTGCCATACCGATCAGCAGCAAAAGCCTGGCCACGGGTGGCTTCCTGTATCTCCATCCCACCCCTCATCTCAGCCATTCAAGGCTCCCAGAACCTACTCTTTTCAATTCTTCGATCCCAACCAACAGCCAGTCCATCAGGCTCGGGTCTCGGGGCCCAGTTCCATAGTCGCGCCAAGCGCACAAACCAGTGACAAAAGGCTTGACTCTATACTCGCTATTGTATGTCAGTTTAACCGAGCCAACGCAACTCTTGCAGTTTACAACCAGCCTATGATGCACCCTGGGGCAAAGGCCAAGTACTGCAGCAGGGAGAAGACAGCCAGAAGCCCAGCATATCTTTACTTTCAGGACCTGGGTGCTCTGTCTGTTTTATTTGACCGGCTAGACAGGGTTCAATGCAGCCTTCGTGACGCTCTTCTAGTATAGCTTGTCCGTCGAACACTGGATGTCACGCAGCGGTTGGCTCGAAAAAGCTGCGTAGCCTCAAGCTGCTCCTCCTGCAAAGCATGGCTTCATCCGACGTTTTCCGCAGCAAGATCGGCAACAAGTGACACGGCTTAGAGCGTTTGGCAAGACCCGGGGATGGGTTTAAGCCTAGGATTTAGGAATCTTGCGGTCGTTTAAGGAACAACGAAACAAGTGCAGTCACAACCAGTAAACCCTCAGGCAAAGTGTTCTTGGCTGTGTTCTCTCCATGGGGCTATTGATGTAGGGCTTAAGACCCCGCAACGTACTTTAAGCATTAAGGTCACACATCATGGGGTCTTGGTGTTCGTGGGTTCAAGCGGTGTTCATCCTTGTTGATATATTGAGTTGCCAAAGCATGCTTATTCTAAAGATGGCTCGTTTATACCTACATTCATAGCCAAGTACATATATACATGCATACATACATAGACCTATACATATGTTTAAGTCTGTACAACTATATGTGCGTATGTGTATATATATATATGTATATGTATGTATGTTCATCAGAAGATTGTTTGTGTGTGTATGTTTGTGAAGACACATGGTAGTGAGCTCCCATTGGCCCTCAGTCCAGGGGAAACAAAGGCAAATAATTTCTCAGCTTCTGTGATTGTGAGTGTACATGACTGCATACTTTAAGAGAATTGTGTGTGTGTGTGTGTGTGTGTGTGTCTCGTGGGGGGGGCTGAGAACAATGGCACTCCCATGACAGGGGCCGTTGCCGAAGGAGCGATCCGCTTGCCAAGCATGGCCGCCGATTTTTGCACCCCTTATCACCTATATCGCACAAATCGAGAAGAGCAGCAAATTCTTGAACTAATCCTGAGCCCTCCTTAGTCCCTTAACCCAGACTTGAGCCTTTGACCCGAAGGTATCCGAAACAGGAGGTGGAGGATCGTCAACTGCAGCTGAAAGCAGAGCTCACTTCCTTAAAGAGGACGGGTCTTTTGAGGTTAGACTTTAGGGTGAAAAAGACTAGGTAGGGCTTTGGGACATTTTATATTTTCTCTTGTTGGGCTTAAGAGGATCTTACCTACTAATATTGTTCAAAGGCTTTAAAAGCCCCTCCTAGAGGACTTAACTTCGGCCGGATTCAAGGTTCAGTATTCAGGGGTTTTGCAAGGGTTCTTCGGGGCTTCGAACGGTTTTGTAAGGGATTTCTTCAGAAGTGCGCATTTGGAGAAGGCTTCGCGAGAAGAGCTCAGTATTCAAGTTAGTGCCGCTGGTCTTGCTAGGTACACATGCATCATGATTTTCAGGGATGCAAGTAGAGTTTACGTACTTCAGCAGGAGGAGCCTGGATCAGGGGTGTAGGGTTTACAACATCACAGGGTGCTAATTGTTCCAGGCATGCGCCGAAGCTGCTGCTTCAAGGGTCGGGTCCGGCTCTTGGGTCAGGACTCATGGCTTCGGGTCTAGCGGGTTTCAGTCGGAGCTTCGATGTTTCTGTGGTCAGCTGGCCTTGAAACCTGAAGGCACCCGAACCCCAATCCACCAAGCTTTGGATGAACAGGCTCACGTTGTTGATGTGCTGTAGCATGCCATGGCAGGAAGGGAGGAAACACGCAGTGCTTCGACTGTGGCGTTGCGGACGTGACTTGCTTGAACCCTCAAGCAAGCCCGGGTTGGCCTCTGGGGGTCATTCTACTCGACCCTTAACAACGCCAGAGCAGTGTCTGCTGCGCTGATGACTGTGCCCCACCACGAGCGACCGTCGTCCGGTGCTGTCAGAACGAGTTGCGATGTGCCGTCCTGATTAGGCCAAGGAGGCCAGACATGCGAATCGTCTCGAGTTATAGAGGCCCCCGACCGAATCTCCAAAGTTCACGGTCGCATGCACGGACTCAAATTCAACATGGACCCCCCCTCCCCCCGAAGTGACTAAATCCCAAACCCGGCGATCCAAGATTCCCTAAAACATCCGAACCCCGAAAGCTGACAAGGTGACCTGGGCCTCACCCAAACTGGGCACGTTCCTCTGCGTGACTTGCTCGGACATCCACCGGGCAGCGGGCGCCCACATCACTTGCGCGACCATGGCTGGCATCGGAGAAAACGAGGTTTAGGGCTTCAGGGTTTAAGAGTTTAGGGTGTAAGTGTAAGGATTGCAGATTTGCCTGGCCCTCAGTTTCCTTTCTTCAGGGGCACCCGGCAGTCGCAATAGGCCTGGATGCAAAAGGGTGTATAAGGCTTAGGGTTGACAGAGAGTTTAGGGTTTAAGGGTTTAGGCCTTAATGGTTCAAGAGTTTGAGTTTTAGGGTTTAGAGGGTTCAAGATTCTGGGGCTTAGGTCTATCCTCGACCAAGAAAAAAGGCCCTCACGACTTAGGCTTTGCAGTGTTGGGCTTAATATAGGGGCATGGAGAATTGCCAATACTATTTTGGGGGGTGGGGGCTCCTTAATACAATTTCTAGTATAATGGACCTATAGTTATAGTAGACTAGACCCCAAAACCTTAATCTAATTATCAAGGCCCCTACATTGGGGCGTCCAGTTCAGGGACAGACCAGGTGAAGAACTTCAGCACCTACCTCTGGTCCCCGGACGAGGCAAGCGGGGTTTAGGGTTTTAGATGACAGCAGGCAGGGTTTCACAGCGTTCTATGGTGTTGATACCTGGCCAATCCCGCCAGAAGCCTCTTAGCGTGCTTCTTGCAGTGGCATTTTTTTTACATATCCTGTTCGGCATAGCGGGCCTGACTCTCTAGACCCTATAACTCCTGAACCCTAACCCCTAAACCCTAATTCCTATAAGCCCTATAAACCCTTGAAACCTCAGTTTGTCCTAGGCACCTCGGTGTCTGAGCCGGAAACCCGTTCGGGATGTCTGGCAATCGCGCAGGTGGCCATGATGCGCCTCGTGGGCAACGACCGGGCCAAGGACCTTTTCTCTCTTAGGTACTAGGGAGATCCCTTAAAATTGGGCATTGTGGAGAGGGTCTATATTCTATATCTTGCAGGGTCCTCCTACGAAGGCCTAACTCCTATTCTCATTGTTTCGGGTTCAAGCTTATGGCCTCAGTATATCTAAGTATCACTGTGTCCTTATTCTCATACCCCACCCATCCCTCAACCCCAAAACAGGACTCTAGACGCAAAGCCCTAAATCCAACACCCTTACCCCCAAACCTATTACTCCTTTATCAATTTGGTACACTATCAGCTCTTCATAATTCCAAACCTTAGTCTATTGCTGACAAAGCCTAAACCCTGAACCTGCTTTCCCCCACACCTTTAACCTTGAACCCCAAACCCTAAATCCCACAAACCCTGAGCCGCAAACCCTAAACGCCTAAACTCCACCCTACACCCTGATCCCCAAACCCTAAACTGCACCCCAAATCCTAAACCCTGATCCTCACGCCCTCAACCCCTAAACTTTACCCTAAACCCTTTAAACCTTGAGCCCCTAACCCTAAATCCTAAACCCCTAGACCCCTGAGCCCCTGCGGGCCTTGAGCCCCAAGCAGGAGTTCTAGTAGCCCCTCTATAATCCTTAATAATCGTCCTTCCCTTCCTCCATTCCCTACTAAGAACCAGACAAACCCTAAGCCCCCAAACCCCTAAACTCCCTAAACCCCCTAAAACCCCTGAGCCCTCACAAAGAGGAGCTCTACCGATCCTCCGCGCCCCTCTCCTGGTCCCCTCATGACTCGAAAGATCGGAAGGCCGGTCTTCGAAACCAGGTTTCCTTAAAGGGTCTCGAAGGGATCTACTAGAGATCTATAGGGTTTAGGGTTTAGCTGTTTAATATTTAAGGGTTCAGGGACAGAACAAAAAGACACGGATCGACGGTTCTGTGAATTGGAGGGTTTAATCCCTAGATCCAAAACCCCTAAGCGCCAAACCCCAAACCCTAATCCTTAAACCGTTTTAAGTAGGGTTCAAGGACGGTTGTTAGGGTTTCGTTGTAGTTACTGTAGGGTTTAATCGAGCTTCACTTGCGGTGTTATTCGGTTTAATTACGCTTTGTAAAGGGGTTCATGAGGGTTTGTACGGTTTGTTCAGGGATTTGGGGTTCAGTTGGGCTCAGAAATTAGGGTGTGTAGGCTTGAAGGGTTCAGGATTTACTGTATGCGGTTTCATGGCTCGGGCTTGTCGTGGGGTTTAGGCTTGAGCGATCTTGTCCAGTACTTGAAGGTGCCTGATTCCGGATCCGTTTTTTGCAGAGCCAATGGGGAGGTATAACTGTATATCCATGCAGGAGCCTTGGCTCCACTTGAAAACAGAATCTCAGCTTTTCGGCAGTATCGTTTTATTCTGGCGGCGGTAGTCGTTGCTTCTATGTTTGGTAGTTGGACTGTGTGACATCGCTTGCTGCCACACCTGTTTCAAGAAATTACACAAAATACGTTCGCGGCAATGGTTTTTTCTCGTTGTTCCGACCGTGATTGGCCTGCATTGTTGAACACGGAGTCCTTTTGATTGCTTGGGTTGCGTTCTTCGTGCTGATGTAGCTGCTAGCTTCCCTAGCATGTTCGCGTTGTGATGCTTCAGACGTTGGGCACCCAGGAAACCCAATACCCCTTATTTAAGGAATATACCTTAAATCATAAGATCAAGCCCCGAATAAGTTAAGGTATATTATCCTTAATTCCCTTATAGATCCCTTGAAGGAACCCTTAGATAGATTCCTTAATTAAGGTGTATTATGCTCTCCGGGCAGGTGCAGCTGTGCACGCAGCTTTACGGCAGCGCGACCGCCCAGAGAGCTTCGGCAGAGATGATCGCTGCAGCCACGGCAGCGCCACTTGTTTGATCCAACAGTCTGTCTAACCCCAAACTCATAACCCTAACTAAGGGTCCAAAGGACCCAATAATTAGCTACTCGGTTTTAGGATAGTAGTCATGTAGGTTGCTATTTTGGAGAGTGTGTGATAATTGCTTGGACTCTTAGGGTACTTGGGTGGTCTTTTTCAATGGTTGTAGCTCCAGCCACGTTGCTGAGGTCAGCATCGCCTGCGCTGAATCCTTCGGAGGATGCCAAAGCACCAGCTGGGAAGTCGCTGCCGGGAGCACCTGACTGGTTTGAAGACTGGTCTTCTCCACCCCGAGAGAATCCTAAGACGACCCAGCGAAGTGTCGACCTGTTGGGAGACCTGCTTGATCTGCAGCCAGTACTTCAGAAAGCAACCTTGGCGGAGGTGGACGTTTGCTTGGGGCAAGGCTATGTCGACGCTGTCAAGGCTCCTGTCGTCGAGAGACTTGGTCCACAAATCCTTGTTTAACGGATGTTACTGAAACTAGAAAAGGGTTGATATTTGTAGTTGCTCTTCAGAAGCTCATCATACTGTAGCAGCCGCATTGATGAGCAACACTTCTGCTTGGAAGGACTTCAGGGAGGGTAGGTTCACGGACCCTAGTCCGCATTGCTACAGGAATCTGCAGAATGAGTTGGCGGGCGTCTTCGACAGCAACTGCCAGCAAACCGTAGCCCAACCTGCCAGATGCGCCATGCAAATGGCGAACAAAGAAGAGAATGATTTTTGGACCTCGGTGAACTGGGACGACCTCATGAAGTGAGCTAGGGTACTGATCCAGTGCCTGCTCCAGTTTCACACTCATCCAGTAGACAGCAGTCGCATGCATGAGACTGTGCATGTGTACGACGCTTGCTGACGGCCTGCTGATGTACAGTTTCAGCACGACTCTCCAAGCCGTGGCATCTACAAACGACACCACCCGCCAACGTGCATTGGGCCTTTTCCAGCTGCACTTTACCAGCCACTTCGGCTGCTGCGTTGTGCCATCGTGTCCGGGGTCTAGGACTACTGTAATGGTGTCCTTGAACTGAGGAAGACTTACCTTTGGTTTGTAGGGAATGGAAGAATGGTAGTAATAGTAGCTATAGTTGTACCCCATTCCTCCATTCCCTACTAACCAAAGGTAAGAAGAGCGCCAGTGGGATCATTTTATGTTCCAGGTCCTCTAGGACAGTAGCACAAGGCATTGTCGGAAATAGGGTCCCCAATAAATCCCCCATGCAACAATATCCGGCCAGCTAGCCCTTAACCCTCTGAATCCCATTCAATGGGTAGTTCTTGAACATTGGTCCCTTTTATTAAAATGTACGGCACAGCACCCTCATAAAACGGACCCTAACTTACAGAAGCCTAAACCCTAGGCCCTGCAATGCCTAGTAAGCCGGACAAGGCTTGGACGATCGAGTGTGGCGCCATTTGGAGTGGACGGCTTGGGCCTCAAAAGCTGGGATGAAGATAGATAGGATGAAGGATCCCTTACATATGGGCTCTTAGTTGGGGATCCTCCCAGCTATCTTCATCCCACCTTACCTTTGGAGTGGTTTAGGGCGATCCGTCGACTCGTTGTTGGGACGGCTTTTCTGGGACCACCTGTCCCTTGGCCTAAACAAAGTCGTTTCCAGGTACTTGCGGCGGTTTAGGGTTTAGGGTTTAGGGTTTAGGCAAGCAATGTTTGCCATGAGTGTGCATGTTATAATAAGCGAGGTTCGTCTTACAAACGACACACAGTGTGTTTGATGTGTCTCGGAAGGCAATGGGCTGCTGTATGACGTTCCCACATGACCTCGTACGATGCTCATGCCACCTTTAATTTGTGTGGTTGTCAAAACAATGGACCTTTTGTGGGTCCCTGATATAATACGGCATTTAAGGTGCCCGAAAAAGGGACCCATAAGGATGGCGGGCATGGCTCCTGCTTCAGCTATTTACGGCTAAGATGACTTAGGAGTGATTACAAAGAAAATGCAACCTCATAGTACCCTTTGAGGTACCATTATAGAGACCCTTTTGGGGTAATGTGTGGCTACAACCAGCATGGCTGTCAAAGCTTGATTTTCAAGATTTGCATCGGGTGTTTTCTCGCGCCGTTAGGGTTTAGGCTTAGAGGTTAGGGTTTTTAGCCCCATCTTTGCCAGAAGCCCTAAACCCTAAAGCCCTTACCAGACCGGTCCTTGTTTTTCATTTTGTGGCAGGCGGCTTCAGAACTCTACCCCGTTCTCAGTCCCGGGCTTGGATCTTGCATGCGTCTGATTCTTGCGCTGGCGGCAGTTGAAGATGAATACGGGGACACTGCTACCGGAAGTTGGTTGAGACAGCTGTAGATGAAGCAAAGGCAAAAGACTTTTGTTGCGTAATGCACTTTGCACGTGTTGACTCCAAAATGCAAGTACTTGCATCTCTCTTTGTCGCTCTCCGCGTCTGTCTCCGTATCGGTGTATGCATGCATGCAGGCAGACGCTTTAATGTAGGTGCCTTAATAATTTCCTGCGTACACTATTTTGGGTGTTCCTTCTTACATAATTACAGTATAATGGGTCCCCAAACCCTATTTTAAGTATTAAGGCCCCCACAGTTTGCTTACACTATCCTTCATATATAATTACAGTATAATGGATCCCAAAACCTAGTACCCAGCCAGCAGCACGAAAGCAAGAACGGCAGGCGAGGACCTGCGAGGCCGTGTCCGCACCCAGGGACCTGCCCCTTCTGATCTCCTTAGGAATAATGCTTCTAATTTTTGTTCATATAAAACTCAAGAGAATACTAGAATAATGTTTTTGATTTTTTGTTCATATAAAGCTCAAGAGAATACTAGAAATAGTAGTTTTATTATGGTTCTAAGGGGGGTACGGCGGCCCCTGTTCCAGAGCTTCGTTGCAAGAAGGTCTGGGTGAGGATTTCAGGGTGTAATATGAAGGCTTGAGTATTTACACAGATTATGTATTCACTGGGTCGCTAGGGTTCCTCATGTCATTCAGGTCAGACAGTACAATAGAGAGAGCGTATGGGGGCATGGGAGTCTAGTCTATTGATTGATCTGCCTGTATATATATATATATATATGTATAGATGAGAGAGAGAGAGAGAGAGAGAGAGAGAGAGAGAGAGACAGACAGAGAGAGAGGGAGTCAGAGGGAGTCAGAGGGAGAGCGAGAGAGACAAGTAGCTAGCTAGTTGGTTAGTTAGTTCCTAATTACACTCACCAATGTTGAGATTTCTAGCTGCTGGTGGCCAATCACACTCTCTGTGTCTCCATTGGTTTCGCTCGGTAGTCACTGTCACGCTGGTATGTTTTTGGTGGCGGTGATCATGCTGCCTACTGTGATTGCCACTGGGCGTTATCATGTGGTGCCTCAACGGTTGGCTCATGCAAGGCCAGGCATAGAACGCAAGAGTTTTCCTGGCAGGTTATGACTCCAACCACGAAGTGCATGAAGTCATAAAGCCCTGACTGCACCATTTGGGAGAGAGCAAGCCTGCCACAGAAGCATACCTGAAACATTTAAAAGGCTGCCACGATTATTGAGGAGGTCCTGTTGCTGTCTTGACTCAACCAATGCAATAACCATGTCTAGCTTTACTAATATTCTGCGTATTACCAGTACTATGATCATTAAGGAGATTATGGTTTTATGGATGTTAATGGTCATCATGTTTATGTTGTGTATGATGGTGAAAACCGTTTAGTACAAAATTCGGTTACCATATAGATAGATATATATATATATATATATACCCCATAACACCATTCTATTGATTGAGGCCCCTGCAGTACCCCTACGATTGAAGGGATCCTACTCCGAACCCCAAACCTTAAACCCTAAACCCTGATTCTGATAGACAGCATGTAGATCCGACCGTCAAAGCACACGCGCACCAGAGACCTTTTCAGGCATGTCCGAGTTGCGAGAGCGTAAACCCTAATTCTGAACACGTAGTCCCATGATCCTTTACGTGGGAGCAGCTGCCAGGGGTCAGGGCCACCGTCCTTGCTGCCGTTGTTCCCCCAGAGCTCGGCCTCAACCCCAGGATTTGCTGAGAGGATAGCTGTCCTTAGGGGTTTAGGGGGATGGATAGTCCATATATTCAGGCGATTGCACAAGTCCTGATGCAAAAAGGGGATGGATAGCTGCTTGGATTTAGGAATTGAGGGTGTAGGGTTTAGGGTTGAGTTTACGGTTTCCGGTTTCGTGTAGCTTTGTGTGAGCTGGCTGGGTTCAGACAGTCCCGCTGTGAGCCGGCAACCTTTGGGGCGCATGGTTTAAAAGAATGGCTGTTCCGTTTGAGGGAAGTTTGAGGGATAGGGTTGTGGTTGAGGCTCCGCACGGTGTTTTTGGCATTCCTCGGTAGCAGACATGTCCTTTACTTCTGGGAAGGGCCCGCAAGCATCCCCGCAGAAGCCCTGGAAGACCGTATACCCGCGCCCACACACAGTGGGCAAACTATCACAAGTTACCACAAGGCATAAGTGAAGTGAACATGCTTTCCTGGCTATCGAAGCTGTCGCAGGCCAGGCATATCGAAAAGGTCAATGAGGCCCCACCCCGCAACCGCCAACGCAAGGACGGCAGCAACGGACCCACTAAGAAAATCTAAGAAAGGCGCCCCCCCCACTACCGGTTGTCACTAGGCGGGCAGCGCCCAATCCCAAAGCCACCGCCCAGTGTCCTGCATTGATTAAGCATCCGATGTTTTGCCTCCTCGCAGCTTGAGAACCCCCCGAGCCGCAGAGGCTTCGACATCGTTGCGTGTCAGAGTGGCGGCTTCATAATCCGGACGAAAGGACCCTTCGCAGCACAAGGTTTGTTTCCAAGCTAAACTACACTACACGGTGCCGCTGCTGCGAACCCTAGACCCTGCACTGCTTGCTTTGTGGTGGGGGAGTGGAGACACTTTTTGCGTTCTTCGGCGAAGACGAAAGCCGGAACCAGCCATGACCTGTTGACCTTAAATCCTCGCGGCCATCAGCCCCAAACTCCTCTTGCGCTAGACCCTAAAGTTCCGAACCTCAAACCGTGAAGCCATATAAACTTTCGAAGCCTACACCCTTAACCCTTGTATAAAGAACGAAGCCCTTTAATGACAGGATAGAAACAAAGAGCAAAGGCCTCAAAGCCTAAACTCCTAAACCCGGACACCCGTTCGATACCCGTGGCGTGCAAAGAAGGGGTTCAAGAAACAACTGAACTCCCCCAAGCCCTCAAAACCAAAAGCACCCTCAACCCCTAAGCCCTTGAAACCAAAAGCAAGCAAAGCTGCAGGAAGGGCCTTACCTGGCAGCTGCTTCTCACGGCTGAAGAGACCTGGGGGCGACAGCTACCAAACTTAGTGCTCGGGTTCCACGAGTCCAGAAACCTAAACCCCGAACCCTATTTCAGGATGTTTACGGAGCGTATCCGGCTAAGGATTTAGTATTCTGGACGGGTTATGAGGGCCGGCCCTAAGCGCTAAGCCAGTACATTGTCGAACCTGCTTCCCAAATCAAATCCACTCTTCATGACCTCGACCCTCAGGCTGCGCTACACCCTTCAGCCAAGCAGAAACCTGGCACAGTCCTAGCCAGGCAGCAGACCCTGAACCCTCAACCCTAAACCTAGTGTGGCAGGCTGTTGACCTGCTTTTGCGCAGGCGAAGCGGAGAAAGAGTCACTGCTCTTAAAAAAAACCCTAAACCTAAACGAGCCTATAGACCGTAACAAGGGGCCCTCAAAAGAGGGGTAAACCCCCAAAGAACACTAGACCGTGGCTGGCCCTCGAACAGCGAGGGCCAGTGATTGTCAGACGGAAGCACCGGGGACCGGTTGCGGAGCCTGTCGAAGAGTTCCATAAGACAAAGGGTTCGGTCATGGTTTTGTAAGGATTCCAGCAAGGCTCTGCCAATAAGAGAGGGTTTGTAGGTCCTGAAGATCCTAGCATCTCGGGTTCTGCTAGGGTTGTGTGCACTGCAGCCGCTACCCAAAGAGCGTTCAAGCAGGGGTAGAGAGCATCTCGGTTTGGATTTATTGCTGTCGCTAGGAGTTTTGACTTCTAGGCCTTGCGATCCTGCAAGCTCCAGCAAAGCCGGAACATGGGCTTAAACTCCGTAAACTCCAAGACCCGGAATCTAAATCCAAGGATACCGAAACCGGACCCCTGCCTCCTTTATCGCAGTGATTTAGGGCGGACTCCCTGGTTCTGCGGAAGAAGAGAAAAGCACTCTTCCAGCTCCAGGCATGCTAAGTCCAGCATGTCTGGATTCGTGATGTCGTCCTGGTTAGCATCCGGCGATGTGGCTTTAACCCACATCCACAGACCGAGCCATCGCAACACTTGCAGCTGATGTGGCCCGAGAATTGCCGACACGGCAAGGGGTATAGTTATAGTTTGTATACCGTACTATACTGTGAAATATACATTCGATCATACGCTGCTTTATTATTACATTTTGTTCTGCACACTTACATCTCAAGCAGCGGGCCGCCACCAGTCTCAGTCAACTACTTCGAGCCTCGATGACCAAGCCGTTTCTCCCCGATGCACCCTACAAATCAGCAGCCCTTTCCACTGTGAAATATGCGTCCTCGATACTATATTTGATATCTCATACTACAGTATACTATATCTTATCACCTTTTTAGTTATATGATGTTATGTTGTAGTGTATTACGTGAGAGCTCCCAGTTCCGACTTCTCGCGTTTGGCGCCATGGCCGACTGGGATCCCTTCGCGGATCCGGGCGATGACTCGAGCCAAGCTCCGCCGTCGCCTCCGAAGGCGAAGCCCGTGGTTGAACCTGGGGTTCTTGTTAAGGGTTTAGGGTAGTTAGAGGGTATACCATAGACCCTAAACCGTATTATAGGGTTTAGGGTTTGGGGGTTTAGGGTTTAGGGTCTTCTTGTTAAGGTTTTTAGTTTAAGTTACCAGAACAGAGAAACCCTATTGTTTACAATGGATCCCTATGACTATGATGGTAACCTGATAAATTCCTTAACAAGAACCCAGGAACAGAGCAAGGCGAAGAAGGGAGCGGACGATATCTTCGCGGCCTTGCGATTTCTGGAAGAAGGGGCAGAAGGCCAAAACCAGCAGCCCCTTCCGACGGATGACGATGAGTTCAAGGCCAAGTTGGACGTGCTTTTCAGTACACCGGATGGCGAGATAGACTCATTGCGAAGTGCCTATGCAGAGGTGGCAAGACTGTCGGCAGGAAATGGTGCTCGCACTATTTCCACCTGGCAGAGGGCATTGGGCATGCTGGAGGCCAAAGAGTGCAGCAATTTACTTGGGTTTATGGTTGATGATGCTGTGGGTCTCACCGCCGACCCTTCCAAAACCGGAATCAGTGCCATTCACCTGGATGTCCCAGAGGAAGACAGCGGAGAAGTGGTCTTCTTACTCTCATGGGGCGGTGGGACGTTGCAAGATATGGAAGATGTTGCGAAAATGTATCGTGAACTGCTTCCTGGATGTACGATCTTCATCTCAACCAGCAATCGCAAGCAGAGCTTCGGACTGCGATGCCAGTGCGCTTTCGGCATCAAATCAGCTGCAGAAGCATGGTCCCGCAGCAAGAGTCAGCCTAAACTCCTCGTGCACATGTTCAGCAATTCCGGCATCCAGGTTCTTAGCCATATTCTGTTTTCCATAGATCCCATCATGGCTCAAACTAATTTACAGGCTTTAGTTCATGTTCGGGAAGAGCCGAGGCATGCATGCATGGACGGAAATTCTACAGGCTTGGGGCGCAATCCGAAGCTCCGACGAGCACTTGGGGGTGTTGGACGACCTGCCCCCCCTCGAAGATGTGCTACGTGGCATTGTGATGGATTCCGCCTGTGACAGTGCCGTTCCCGTTGATTCTTGCATACAAAGCTTCGTCCAATCTATGGCCGGCACCGTGGCATTTGCTGCGTCTTCGGACCACGACGGCTCAGAGGAGGGCAAAAAGGCGGCTGAGGTGGCAGGCAAGCGAGCTGTGGCTTCCTTGATCGGCTCAGCTTCAGTAGCAAAGTCCCATCTCTACAGCAAGCCACATAAGACCCTCACAAAGCTGGCCGATGCAGACACCGCGATCGTGCATCGGATGGAGCCTCCCGTTCCCATGCAGTTCATCTACTCCAAGGATGACAACATTATCGTTCCCCAGGGTGTTGAGAGATACTTAGTAGCTGAGTGGATACACACTTCACACTTATTTGGATAATATCACCCACTATAAAACTTAAAGTGTACACTGTTTGGGGCTTGGGAACTCAGCAACTAAGGATACCTACAGGAAGTCAAAGATCGGCCCAGCCGGAAGGGACTCTCTCAACCGCGAGTCTGGTGCCTCGAGAAATCCAGGCATTGCTTTCACAAGCTCACCGACCCAGAGGAGTACAGGAATTGCATCGCCCTCTTCGCTTCCAGTACTATGTCTTGACTCTTTGGTAGCTTGCTGTTGCAGGTCGTAGAACTGCGCCAGCGCCGGGGAAGGTTGTGAGCTCATAGCTTGTATGCAAACACCTTGCAGGCCTCGACGCTGCATAAGTCTGGGTTTTGGTTGGTTGTAGAACCATATGAACAACGAAGCGCTGTCACGTGACATTTTCGCTCGCTTCCGCCGAAGCCATCCCGTTTTCCGCTATCTTCCATTTCTGGCTTGCGAAAAGGATTCCGACCAAGAGCGAAACAGTCCAGCCGACGGAGTGCCGAACTTCTTGATGCCACATGATGTTCCCATAGTCAGAAAGCCTCGCAAACTGCTATGCTGGCAGGAACAGGGGACTAAGTATGTGCCGTCAGAAGCAAGTCAGCTATGCTTTTAGTGCATCTTAGACCGGTCCCAGACCTACAAACCCCAGCGATACAACCACGAGCAGTGTAAGCCTTAACCTTGCATCGCGGCGGCCCGTATCTTTGCTTGTTCATCGCGACATGCATTGGTTCGACATCTATATAGTCTGCACGTTGCCAACATTACAGGTATGGAGTTTAGCCGATGATGAAATTTGTACATTGTTGCTACTCTACTCTGGTTAATGTCGTTGCTGTTGTGACTGTGATTCGCACTTGCATTCTTGCGGTGTTGCTGAATGGCTTGCAATACGACAAAGTGGTCAAGTCACGAAGTGGCGGCACACAGCCGAGAAGTGCATTTGTAGTACGATCCCGCTGGTGAGCCTGTTCACGTTCGCCCAGGCAGAGGTGATCCTGGAGTGCGTCGTGGCCTTGGCCCGCAGGGAATTCGGCAATCCTCTTGCCCTTAGAAGTTTCAGTTGCCTTTCGAGGCTCAACTGAGGATCAGGAACACAAATCGCCTGGTCGTAACAAGAACTCTGTAGAATGCCCGGGGCTACTATTGCAAGCAGCGTTTCTTCGTCTATGACACGCGCTTTCTCTCGGCCCACCACTTCCTTGTGGCACTGGCTTTCTCTTTTGGCCCCTTCCTTGCCTCTGAGCTTGCCATGGAGCATGCGCAGACGAAGCTGTAATGAGCATGAGCAACGCGAGGCGATAGAATTGCTGCCCTCGCTGGGAAGAGTTTAGGCACTGCCCGAGCAAGTGAGAGGGTGGTACTGTTGATGATATAAATCCTGCATTACCTTCAAACCCTAAACTATGGGAATAACGGCATATTCCTTATTGTGGGTAATGCAGGATTTATATCATCTTGGGGTCACCGTCTGCAGAGCAGTACCCGCACTACGTCGCATTGGCATCCGGGGAGTTCAGGAAGTCGAGGGCTCTAGGTGTTATACTATTATAGTAATATAGTAACATAGTATTGTAGTATTATAGTAGTATTCTAGTAGTGGTATAGATGCTAAGTACTGGTACCCCTACTGGGAGATCCTTCATACAAAGATCCCCAAGGGCGAAACCCACAAGCTTCAAGAAATCCTATCAGTTTGATATATTTATCAGCAGCGTCAGCCATGGGCGCTTTCCGATTGGGCAGCCGCTACTTCGTGCACCCCTGGTTACCTGGCTGTTAGTGCAAAGGTCCCAGTAGGGTTCCTATTACAAGAAAGGGTCTTGACGACTAGGGGAAGCAAAAATGTTGTAGAGCAGTTCCTTGTAGTTCCTATATATAATATACTGATCTTGACACCTACCCCACTGCCGCTACTCTTCGAATCATTCAGGCCCCCCCACCCCCCCCGCATGTTCGCTACACCTGAGGAATATCGTTTTTTGTATCTGGGTTTTCTCGGGGGCAATGGAGTGGTGTGTTGGGCCCAGTGCTTAATTTGTGCGGGTCGTGCTTACCTGTTTACGGAACGACAGGTTGTCCCACTGTTTTGTCCCATGCCTGCTTGGAAGACCGCGTATCTAATCAAAAAGTCTCGAAGGCCGGAGCCAGTTGAGGTTGAAGTCACATATCGCCAAAACGCCAAAGAAATTGCCCTGACACACTGGTCCAATATATTAAGAACTGTCATAACATCATCTTCGCTACGCCCCAAGCTCTAGCTGCCAGCTCCTGTCCCCGAGCCTGATGTAGGAGCCTGAATACTTACCAGTATTCCTTGGGATTTAGGGTCCAGTCATGTACAACATACAACAAACACCCCACGGGTCATGTACCCATCTAGTATATACCGTGGCCCGATAAAGTACCTTTCGAGGGACTGCTTGAAGGCCTATATAAAGTATTTATACATATATACATATATATATATATGTATATATACACATACATATATAGAAAGAATGTATCTACTAGGTGCCTATGGTTGATGATATAAGCCCTGCATCACCCATGATTAGGAATACGCCATAATTCTCCAGTTTTCGGTCATTAAGGTAATGCAGGATTCATATCATCAACCCTACTACATTTGCCTCAGGTTCTAGATCCCTTATACAGACCCCTTGAAGGAACCCTTTAAAGGAACCATTACAAAGGCCTCCCTGTTACGCTTGCCTAAGGTTCGCTCTGGCTATCGTTCCGCAGCTTCTGGTGCTCGCCAGGCCACTCTGGGACGTTTTCTTTCTTCAAAGACGAAAAAGACGGGACGCTTAATGGGGACCCTTTAAAGGGATCTAAAGGGATTCTATAAGGGTATAGGGTTTAGAGTTTAGAGGTTTTGGGGTTTAGGGGAAAAAGACGGGACCCTTAATGGGGACCCCTACCCTATAATGGGCTATATAATGGGTATATCATAGCTTTATTACGGGTATATACCTAGGAGTCCTTATTAAGGGTCCCTCCTTTTACCCCTGGATTTCTGTCAGCTCGAAGTCTTAGCAGTTGAGGGTGCAGCCTTTCATCGTCTTGGGGTGGTAGTGGTAGTAGCAGCAGCAGCAGCAGCAGCGGCAGTAGCAGTAGCAGTAGCAGTAGCAGCAGCAGTAGCAGCAGGAGCAGTAGTAATAGTAGTAGTAGTAGTAGTAGTAGTAGTAGTAGTAGTAGTAGTAGTAGTAGTCGTAGTAGTAGTAAGTAGTACAGCACGAAAGTAACACCAAAAGTTAACCTTCAGTTTTTGCAGGAAAGTGGGCAGGTGAGAAATGTCCCCATGCCCTTCCATTATTCTCAGGATTCGAGACCAGTGCCCACCAGCACCCATGACCCTGAAGTGAAACTCCTGAAGCAGAAAGTGAGTTGGCACCAGGGGTAGGTAGTCACGGTGGTCTCCCCGTTAGCTCGGCTGGAAGTGCCCATGGAGGCCTTTAACCATTCGGAGTTGTTCATTGCGGTTTCGAAGCAAGATGAAGACATCAGATCCGACACCAGGCCAGAGATTTCAGAATGTCGAGCCTGCCCTGACCCCTGAACCGCCTCCCAGGTATGAGAAGCCTCCCTGCTCGGAGGGCGAGCAACTTGCATGCAAACTGTTGTTTGCGAGCAGCATCACAGCTGGGAGTTTCCGAAAATTGGGGATACCTTGCTTGAGAGTACTATCTTACGGTCCCCAATTTTCGGAAACTCACAGCTCCAGAGCAACCATTCCTGCTGGTAATCCGAAGCCCTCAGAGTCGCAGGAAAGGCATCGGATATCAGGATCCACGGAGTTTATGTTAATATAGGGCTAAAAGGATCATGGGAATTTGCAAGTAGCTTATAATTTGGATTATAAGCCCCTTAAGTGGGGTTATCCGAATTATAACCTACATATAACCTTACTTACTAAGTCCGATGAGCCTTTAAGTAGGGCTTATATCGGGGACAGGACATATGAAGAGCCCCTAGCAGGCTCCATACGTACCTCATATCATCCTCGCGGAACCCCAAGCCCGAGTCTCAAAGCCTCGCCCGGTAATGCCCCAAACCCTGAACTCGAGGCCTTAAAAACATCTCGAAGCCGGAGGCCGCTTCTACGGTTCCCAGATTGGTAAAGACACTTTGTGTGCAGAAACTCGTAAAGGGTGTAGGGTTTAGGGTTTAGGGTCTAACTTCGAACCCTAGAGAGTCCCCCCACCCTAATTTGCTTCACGTTCTGTAGCCTCGGGTCGCGGACAGACATGGCCTTGACATGGATGAGGTTTAGTTTGGGCCTTACGTCTTGCTGCCCCTAGATCCTAAACCCTTATAAACCCTAAATCCTAAGCCCCTATAAACACCATAACTAAATCCTAAACCCTTATAAACCCTAACGCCTAAACCTTTACAAACCCTAACTCCTAAACCCTTATAAACACTACGTCTCCTAAACCCTTATAAACCCATATAAACCCTAAACCAGGACACTTGCCATTTTCCGTGGAAGGTCGCTGTGCGTCAGCGGCCCCTCGGCTGCATCTGAGACGACACATGTGGGGGTTTGGGGTTTAGGGTTTAGGGTTTTGAGTCAGCTGAGTCAGCTGTCCTGGCGTGACGTTGCAAGCCCGTTGCAAAAGGGTCTAGGGTTATGTAGGACCCTAAATCGTAGGATCCTTATTATAAGGACACCAAAATAGGTTACCAGGATACTCCCTTTTTTCGGAAACTCCCATGTCTGCTCAGCGTCGGAGTGTGCCGGCGAGCGAATTCCGACTTTGAGTGTTGCGACTGCTGGGTCTGTCGTTTAGTTTTTGTGGAAGGATGCCCCCCAAGAGGTTCATGCAGAGCTCCATGCGAAGAATGTCAATGCCGACAGTTGCAGTAGAATCAGTAGAAAAAGCTGCACAGAGTCAGTGTGGGTAGCATCATATGATATGCGATTCCAGCACATCAGCAGGCACGTGTTGGATCCTTCCTTCAACATGCTTGTACTCAAGGGCTGCGGGGACAACGTTCCACCAGCAGTGGCCTTCATAGACCAAGCTAGCAATCTGCCGCCTGCTGAGACTGCACCGGCGAATCCGCTGATGCATCTGCAGAGTGCCCCCAAGAGAAGCCGAAGGACAAACAAGCGTTTAGGGTTCGGGGGTGGGTGGGGGGTTGTGCTTCGGACGTTGTCGCAAAGGGAAGGTTTGTCAACGAAGCGACAAAAGCACAAATGACAAATGTAGGTAGGAAGCATTATTGCTAAGTAGCAGAGCAAACAGGAAAAAGGTAAGGACTCTCAGAGGGACAGCAGCCTTCATGAACAGTAGCAGATGGTATCTAGTGAATTTATTCGGAAACCGTATCGCCGGCCACGTGTGTTGCTCTCGACGCATGAAGTCGCAGACCCTTCATGTTGATCACGACACTACAAGGGCGGAAGGTTCCGGAATAGCAGTCGTCTAAATTGCTGTGCGACGTTCCACGGGGCAGTCGCGCGCCCAGAATCCGCGCCGTTTTGTGTGACCAAGCTACTTGCGAAAGAGCATACCGTAGCTGTAGCCACCCTCGCCTAGTTTGTTCGTTGCCTGTGTTATAGCCTGGTTTATATGAAATCGTGATTCTTGCGATTAGTTGGTTGCTGCCTTGCTATCTTTTCGATTGGCAACACTATCCGTTAGTTACTGTCCTTACCGCATGTTGAAGCCCTTGTTGAATCTTGTTGAGACCTCATTTTGCAAGTTGTGTATGTAAGGCAGTGCACTTGTCTAGCGAGCCTATTGCAGCATGAAGAAACAATAGTAAAACATCCTTCTAGTGCTGTATATGAACACTCAGCATCATATATCCGAAGTTATGCACATTATATATATATACATATATGTATAGACAAATCCATACCCCACGAAACACTGGCACTATGTTTCAGGATGCTGCACTGCAACAGCACTGTAATCTTAGCTTTACCCCTCGTGCAAGTTTGCTGATTGCAGCAGTACTGCTGCTAACATTCGGGCTCCTGAACCTGTGCTGGTACTGTGAGGGAGCAGGATTCAACACGTTTAATCCGACACCTGAGTTTTCTGACACCTGAGTTTTCTGGGTTTTATGATGTCGCACCTTGCCACTGCCGTGGTTTCACTCTTCGGGGGCAGGATGCTTGGAGCCCCTGCTCTGACTTCGACGTTCTTTTCCCACGAGACATAAACTAACCATTGATATTGGAGGAGCTAAGGAGCCAGGGGTGATGATAATCCCTACTTAAATCAGGAGCTAAAGAGCCACGGGAACCCCAAAACCATTGGTTAGTCAACCAAGACAGATTGAGATTTCAGGATACCTTTGGCAAGCCGGCGTGCTTCATGGTCCCTGCACCGAAAGGGGACACCAGTCACCCGAGCATGCATCCTGGCTTAAGCAGGCGAAGCCCCGATTCCCTTCAGCAATTGAGCCTTAACCCGAAACCCGAAGGCACCGAAACTTTAGAACCGCTTAACATTAGTCTCCTTGGGAAATATTTTTTGCATTTTTGATCACAAAAAACCCAAGAGAATATTTACAATTATATTTTTATTCTGGTCCTAAGGGTATACTTAACAAACCCAACACACTAAACAAACCCTGCGGTCCCCAGTCCTTGCAAAGTAGGAGGTGCAGACAAAACCCTGCAGCCCAGCAAAGGCCCTTATTGTAGTTCCAAGAGCTTCACTTCTGCACGTTTTGGGAGGCTTCAAGCCGCGAAACCTAGAAAGCTACAGCCCTTAAAGTTTCAAGCCACCCACAAATGCAACCCTTAAGCCCCAAACCGTACCAAACTCCGATTTACAGGGGCCCTGTATCACTCGTCCCGCCTTTAGGACTGTAGGAGACCTCTACTTCTGGGACACGAAAGCTTCGGAGCCCTGAACCCTTTAGTGCGATTGTGAGCGTCGAACCCGTGAGCTCCCAACACTACATGCTCTTAGCCTCCTGAAATCCTCAGATCCGCAATGCCCAACCTTAAAACTTTTTGGGTTCTTGTAGTTTAATAGGAATCGGAAAGTTTAGCCTTTTATTTCTGTGGCTTATTTGCGAAGTAGGAATCTAAACTCTAAACATCCTAAACCCCTAAACTTTTGAAGAACCGTAGACCCTGAAACTGACCCCTCACCTCTACACGAGACATGTCTGGGCTTCAGAATCCACGCAGCCTTGTTCTGAAGATCCTACACCTGAAGCCCCATCTATGTGTCTATCTACATGTGCATATATATATATATATATATCTATCTATATCTATATATATATATATATATGTATAAATGCGTGTGTGTATGTATGTGTATATATATATATATATATATATATATATGCGATACACACATAGGCGTATATGTACATGTGTAATCAGTTATATTCATATATGGATATAACTTATTCATATTAATCTTACTCTCGGCCCTCGAATCTGAAAGGCGACAGCGCTATTGCGGCATCGAGTGCCGAGGCGACAGCTACTGCGTCGGCCTGAGATCAGCCTCTAAGGCCTTGGGGGGTAGGGTTTAGGGTTTAGGGTTGTAGGGTTCAGGCAACACCACAGGAGGCCTGGATGCAAAAGGGTTCAGGGTTTAGGGTTTAGGGTTGTAGGGTTTAGGGTTTTAGGGTTTAGGGTGATCTTTGTCCTGCAACCGGGCTTGACGTTTCGAATGCCTGGGAGAGAAAGAGAGAGAAAGAGAGAAAGAGAGAGAGAGAGAGCGAGAGAGAGAGAGCGAGAGAGAGAGCGAGGGTGATGGGGTCTTGGGGCTTACCTGGACTCTAAGGAACCTACCTTTTTATAGCCCCCGAATATGGTTTCTTTATATAAGTCCCCAAAAAGGTAGGTGATTTGGGTCTTAGGGCTTAGGCCTATTGAGTAGGGTTTTACAGGATCCTCAATGGGTTTGAGGGCTACTGGAGTCCTGGAAAGTGTTCCCGATCCTTGCGGTTCAGGGTTTAAGACATTGAGTTAATATAGGGGCCTAAGTAATTACCAATACTATCCTGCGGCTTCCTTATTCTAACTGTAGTATACTGGGCCACAAAGCCTTATTCTAATGATTAAGCCCCCATAGTATTTAGGTTTGAGGTTGCGGTCCAAGGCTCTCAGTAAATCAGTAGTTCTGGGTTGGGGAGGTGTTGCTTTGCATGTTTTGAGATTGAAGGGCTTCCCTAAGGCTCCATGTACCTACGTAGTTTATACTTAAGATACTTAAGCTGAAAGGGATTCGCTTATAGCTCCTTTAGGCCCTACGAATACTATATTTGTGCTTGTCAAAATTATGGTCCCTTTTTGGGTCGGGAGTAGACTAATTCAGGAACCATGCGCGATTGTCGGGAACCATGGGTCGGGAAACAAGAAGGCAACAGTCAGGAAACAAGGAGGCAAGAGTCGGGAAACAACCGGGGCGAAAGTCAGGAATCAAGCATGTCGGGTACCATGGGTCTTATAGGGTTCGAGGTTTATAGCATTATCGTGTCAATGCAACATCTGCATCTTGCGGTCTGTGTAGTGGTATCGGTATTTGTATGTGTATTCGAATTGAACTCGTATTAGTTCAAGTACTAGTATTAGTAGCTTTAGTATGCGTATGAATATGAGTACTAATATTAGAATCAGTGTTTGTGTTTGTAGTCGTGATAATATTAGTATTAGTATCCGTATTGGTATTGGTATTAGTTATAGTTAGCCTTAGCATTTGTAGTGTTAGTAGTATTAGTAGTATTAGTAGTAGTAGTAGTAGTAGTAGTAGTAGTAGTAGTAGTAGTAGTAGTAGTAGTATTACTAGTATTACTAGTATTACTAGTATTACTAGTATTACTAGTATTACTAGTATTACTAGTTAATAGTAGTAATAGTATTAATAGTATTAGTAGTATTAGTAATATCAGTAGTATTAGTAGTATTAGTAGTATTAGTAGTTTTTGTAGTATTATGAGTAGATGAGTAGTATAGCAGTGTACGTAGTAAGAGTAGTATGAGTATTATGGGTAGTGTGAGTAGTATTTGCAGTTTTAGTAGTAGTAGTAGTAGTAGTAGCAGCAGCAGTAGTAGTTGTTGTAGCATTTTTAGTCGTTTTACTATCAATAGATTTAGTAGTACTTGTGGCATTAGTAGTTTTCGTAGTATTAGTAGTACTAGTAGTATTAATAGTATTAGTAGTATGAGTAGTGTTAGTAGTATTAGTAGGGTTCCGCGCCTCCTGGCCCCTGGTAGTTTTGAGTGTCCGATTGTCAAAAATGATGGGTTTTAGTAGTTTTTAGAAATTGTAGTTAAGCCAACTTCGATCCAACTAATTGCGTGGGCTTATTTTGATGATTTTGAGAATTATGAGGATGGTGATAAGGATGATGATTATGAGGATGATGATGAAGATGATGAAGTTAACGATGATGTTGAAGATTGCAAAAATGATGGCTATGAAGATGGTGATGAAGATGGTCAGGTCAATGTTCATGTCACTGCCTTTGGCGATCATGCCCAAAACACCGGTATTTACAGCATTTTTTGCTCTTTGTACCACATGCTGCACAAGGATGTGGAGCAAGACACGTTGTCACAAGCATCCTACTACTGCTACTGCTACAGGCGCTACTGCGTTACTGCTTGCGGTCAACCATGTCGTTATTCACCCCCCTCCCCCACCCCATCCCCCCCGGCACCCTAGCAAAAGGCCCAAAAACGCAGAAAAACATAGGTCAACACCAGGCGCCTGGAGGCGCGCATAGCTGTTAGTAGTATTCGTAGTACTAGTAGTATTGGTAGTATTAGTAGTATTCGTAGTATTAGTAGTATTGGTAGTATTAGTAATGTTAGTAGCATTAGTTGTATTAGTAGTATCAGTTGCATCAGTAGTATTAGTAGTGTCAGTAGTATTCAGTAGTATTAGTAGTATTAGTATTATTAGTAGTATTAGTAGTATTAGTAGTATCAGTAGTATTAGTAGTATTACTAGTAGTAGTAGTACTAGTAGTATTAGTAGTATTAGTAGTACTAGGTATTGGTATCGATATCTGTATGTGTATCCGTATTGTATTCGTATTAGTTCTAGTAGTAGTATTAGTAACTTTAGTATGCGTATGAGATGAGTATGAGTACTAATATTAGAATCAGTGTTTGTGTTTGTAGTCGTGATAACATTAGTATTAGTATCCGTATTGGTATTGGTATTAGTTATAGTTAGCATTTGTAGTGTTAGTACTATTAGTAGTATTAGTAGTATTTGTAGTATTAGTAGTATTATGAGTAGATGAGTAGTATAGCAGTGTACGTAGTATGAGTAGTATGGGTGGTATGAGTAGTATTTGCAGTGTTAGTAGTAGTAGTAGTAGTAGTAGTAGTAGCAGTAGTAGTAGCAGCAGCAGCAGCAGTAGTAGTAGTAGTACGAATCAGGTGCCGGATGCTCATGGTGCCCCTCATGCGTTCCTTTTTTCCCCGCATGTTTCCCGACTCCTGCCTCTTTACCTTCCCGACTGCTGCGCCCCTTGTTCCCGACTCCTGCCGCTTTGTTTGCCGACTCGTGCCTCCTTGTTTCCGACTTTGGTTCCGCGACTTTTCCCTCACCCTTGTTGGGTCCCTAATATAGTACGGCACCTAATATTTACGGTACCCAACATAGGAGCCCGAGGGTTCAGGTCTAGGACCTTGGGTTTGAGGGTCGGTTTTTGTGCCGGGAGTTGGCGTTGAGGGTTTGCATACATCAGTTGCAGGCCTGAAGGCTTGAGGGTTTAAAGTTTAGGGGTTAGGGATTAGGGTTTAGGGGTTTAGGGTTTACGGGAGCTGTTCAGGAAGCTGCGTGGGTGGCCTGAGCACAGTCTTGAAGGGTGCGGAAACTTGGACACTCGATTCATTCTGCTCTCTTTTTGGAGGCTTGTGGCAGGGGTTCACTTGTCAAAGGTTGCAGCTAAGCTTTGCGTCTGCTTGTCCAGGTCCCCGTGGAAGCAAATGCACGTTCATAGACGTGCCGCTTGGTAGCAGTGTTGGGGCTCTACAATTCTGTCACATCAGAGAGATCCAGATTCAAAAGGGTTTGCAAGGCCTTCAGGTTTTTTGTCAGGATGCAGGTTTGATAGTCCTCCTGAAGAAGGACTTGATTTGTGGACAATGGGAGGCTCTTGTGGACGCAGGGTTGGAACAAATGCTTATTTTGGTCAAATACAGTTGTCGTTTATGAAGTACCGCAAACATTTTCTCAATTCCAGCCTAAACCTGCATGCTAAAAAAGGATGCATGTGCTGTGTGCGTATGCTGCCTATGTGTATGTATGTATGTATGTATGTGACAATGTGTGCTTTGTATGTACCTATGTACATATAGGTGCCTTTAACTCGAAGACTTTTCCTACATTCTTAGATGACATACAAGTTGCTGGGTTTGCTGGGCCAATGACTGACCACACTACACTTCGCGACGGCCCGAATTCTGTGCGACCGAGGAGTGCAGAAATCGACGAGTATGGCGATGTGAATCCCCTGGCGCGGAATTACCCGCACCTGATCTCGGCCAACCTGCTGCAAGAGGAGGTTGCAGATTCAAGTCGTTCGGGCAGGAATAACGAATCAAGGTCTGATTCTGGTCGCAAGAACTGCTTGTATGGGTTATATTGTGTATTGCAAATCGTGTTGAGGAGAGGCTTGAAGCAACGATCAGCGCTTGCCGACTAAGGACGACTTGCTGACTGGAGCATCTTGAATGCATTCCTTCATGCCCCGTCGACCATGTTACCCATGTTTGATGAAAGTGCTTTCGTGGTTGCCCGCCTTTACATCCCGAGCATGCAGCGCCTTCGCATGTGTATGATCCGCTTCTCAGAGCGATTAGGAATCAGGGCCCACCCATACCCTGGGATGTTGGCAGCAGATTTGCATCCTGCATCTACCAGAAGACATACCGACACCTGCACACAGAGAAGTGCTCACACACACAGAGACATATGCACGCACACACTTCGCACTGTGTATACATACACATACTATATATATATATATATATATATATATGTATATATATATATATATATATATATGCATATACAGATATAGGCATAGATATGTATATGTATGTATGTATATATATATATATATATATATATATGTGTATATGTATGTGTATGTATATATATATATATATATATGCGTGTGTGCGCACGCAACTTATGGTACAGACATACGAAACATGTACAGTGATGAGGTAACTAGCAGTATTTAGTCGCACCCACCCAGCCTTGCTGACATCGAAGTCCATGCCCATGCGTATCGACATGTATAGACCAACAACTCATAGTCAGTACTACCATGTTCGTTGTTGTTGTCGTGATACCAATGATTGGCATGATTGCAGCTGCTAGAGTGGGGATTGACAAGAGGCCGAAGCAGACAGAGGTGTTCGAAGCCGATGGAATTTGCAGTTGCAACCATACTTTGGCAGTGGAGTTGCGACTTCCGCATGTTATTGCTGCAACAGCAAACAAAACCTTTTCGAAAGGGGGGGGCTCCGGATCTTCAGTCAAGTTCGTTTTGGATGGACAGAGATATGCTGCTTATGCGGCAGAACAGGTAGCAGAAGAGCTTTTTTGCATCTTGCCAACCGTCACCCGTGATATGTGGTTTCGGCGTACCTGAGAGGGGCGACCGGCTCAAACTGGAGGGCGTCACGAGTAGAGCAGGTTCGAGCATGAGACACAGCATAAGAAATCTGGTGGCAGTCGTAGCAGCAGTAGTTGTAGTTGTAGAACGGGAAGAAGGAGCAGAAGGACTAGTGAGTGCTGGCAGCTACATTGGGCTTGTGCTCTTGTATCTCTCTCGCGGCTAGTCACGGCAAGCCTCATCTGCGGGGGTGTACGGCTTTTCTGTCGGGTTGTATCTACCGGGCCGACGCAGTGGGCTTTTGTGACGCCATGTCGATGAGCAGAAGAAGATATCCGGCGACTTTGGCTGCAGCAGTCGGTTTTGGGGGGCTTCAGGGTTTTTGGGTTTAGGGTTTAGGGCTTAGGGCGTGAGGTTTAGAGTTAGGGTTTAGGGATTAGGATGGGATTAGGGATTAGGGTTTAGGGATTGCGCAAGTCCTGTTGCAAAAAGTAAAGTGGCTGCTCCGGTTGAAAACTTTGTTGCGGGTCAGGCAAGACGCCCGACGATTGAGCAACGCTCTGGGACCTGTGACCTTTCATGTCTTGATCTTCTCTGTGCTATCAGTAGCAGAACGGTGTAGAACATGTATTGGAGATCCTGTGGACTATGTGGAGCCTTGTCTGCCTTGTGCGAGTGCGACGAAACCCTAAAACCCTACCCCTAAAGGGAACTCCAGAAAGTTGGAATATGGTTTCAGGGTAGGATACCTTATAATTTACCATAAAGGGTTTAGGATAACCATATTCCAACTTTCTGGCTTTTACCTTAAGCCCTTGCGCGGCTTGGAGCTGAGGGAGCACAGAACCCGACAGCTTCATCCGTCAGGCGCTATCCAGTTTACCCATAGGCCCCAAAGTAGTTCCTTTTTGGGGTTCATATATAGAATCCTATAAGGTAATCCCAAGAAGGAGCTACTTTGGGGCCTATGGGTAGTTCCTAAGCTCGCTCTCGGATGAGTTTGCAGACGGAAATCTTGAGAAAGGAACGTAGATACTGGGAACCTACTCAGTGCAGGGTCCTGCCTAGTCCTTGTCAAATCGGAACTACATAACAGTTATGTTATTTAACATTCCTATGGTATGTTGGTGCAAAAAGCACTCCGGCTCACCTTTAAGTTCCTAGCGAGTGTTGCAAGGATTTGCGGTTTGGGGCTTAGGCTTTAGGGTGAAAGTTACACTCAGCTACATACTCATGTCGGCAATCAGGACACAGCGTCATGCTACTCGAAGCTGGGTGGCGACAGCATGAAACCATGGAATCATGGTTCAGGTGTGTGATGTGTACGAGTAGTGGTTTCGTAAGAGTGCTCCATATTCAATCAAGTTCTTTGTAGAGGTGCAGCTGCACAGAGACATGGATGGAGGTATAGATAGGTCGCCCACAGCTCAAAGCATCTTCCGGAGTGGTACGAATCGGGGGATGAACATCCCAGACTCCAAAGACCAGAACCCGATCCAACAGCACAAAACGCCCAAACCCTACACATACCAGCGTGTGAGTGTGAAGCTGCAAATGCGTTGGATCATAGTTATGTAAGTGTGCACCTTGGGCTGTACGGTCCTTGCCTGCCTGGTGCGAGTGCGAGGGCCGGAACAGCCCAACTCCCCCGTCAAACCCTGAACCACAGATCGAGAAGTGTGTCGAAACCCCCAAAAATGAAGATCCGTAAACTAACACCTAAAACCCCAAAACACCCCCCTACGCTACCCCCCCTCCTTCCCCCGATGGCCCTTTGCAGGCAGGTGCTCCTGAACAGTGCGAACGGCTCAAAGGCCGAACCTTCAGCGCTGTCTTAAGGTGGAAGATTCCTTTTGGGGTGTAGGCGTTTTAGCGTTTATGGGTTATGGGGGGCGGGATAGGGATGTTGATTTTAGTTTTCTTTTTCTAGGTTTAGGGGTTATAGAGTTTAAGGGCTGAAAGGCTTGATTATACGGGTGGTTGTCAAAATTATGGTTCCCTTTTTGGGTCCCTATGATAATACGGCACCTAATAACTTAATAATTAGGGTACCCAAAAAAAGGGACCCTAATTTTGACAACCACCCATATGGTTTAACGATCCATTCAGGGCTTTAAGGATCCCTTTAGGGTCGAAGGGTTATATGGTTCCGGCATGGTATGTTGAGGTTTATCTGGATTTTACAGGGGTTCTATGTGGCTTCTATTTGGATTAGAGATTAGGGAGGGTCCTCATGCTTTGTGAAGGTTCTATGAGGACTGAGGGTTGACTGGGTTAGGCTGTTCGGACATATCTTTCGGGTCCTTTTCAAAGATAACTGGTTTCTGTGGTTAGGATTAGGGTGCATTGCGTTGGGTGTCATGTTTGGCCTGAGCGTTGACGGGGTAGGTTTAGGGTGTAAGGTTCAAGGTCTAATTACATGCGTGCTGAGCCGCAGTCATCGTCGTTTTCTGCTTGCTGTCCTGACAATTGAATCCTAAACCTGCAAAAATCTTCAATGGGGTAGGCCTCGGGGATACTCTATGGTTTCCATTGCCGGGCTTAAGAGGGTCTTATGAAGTCACACTTCTCAGAGGCTCGATAGCGCCAACCTATCAACCTTTCGCCCCACCTCCCCAACTGCAGGTACAGCCGATGGACTGCACCAGCGTCCCGGAAGAGGAGCAGGATTCCGACTCCGCGGTTCCTCTGAGCTTAGAAGGCTTAGAACCGAGATGATCTCGCAAAAACACCAGTCGAGGCCTTTGTCGAGGGGTTTGCATAAGTGGAACTGTTGGGCTGCATCATACTATCATTATTGATGGGGACGATGCGGTTGAGAGTGAATCTGGCATCCGTTGGATGGAGCTTTGTCTCAAAACCCCGGAGACGCTCCGCTCCTCCCTATAAACCTCTAAACCCCGACTCATTATCCTCCCTGCTGAACTGCTGAACCACACCTGAACCCACCTGTAGCACAAAAGCCCGCCTTCGTTTGATTTCCTTGGGCTGACTTAAGGAAAATTTGATAGCTACAGGTAGGCCCAATGCGGTATATTTCCCGCTATCTTAGGCTTCAGAGAATCTTATTTCCGAAGGGTGTTGATTCTACGAGTAGTGTTTCCGACGAAAACCCAATGACCGTGACGCTCCGAACTCGAACGAACCTAAGCCGGATCATGATGAGGAGGAGAAGGACGGTAGGAACTACTAATGTGTTTGTCCTTCTCATCATAATCGCAATCGTAAACATCATACAAATAGTTGACAGTAATTGTAGTAGCTGCGAAGTGCAGGAGTTGTCGGAGATCACCGTCCATCAATGGTGCAGGCACAGGGAGTGGGATGAGCCTGCCTCGGGGTCGTGTTTGAAAAGGGGTTTCGAGCTTTCAATCTAATCAGAAACTTAAGGTTTCGAACCGTTTCTGAGGTGCGGAAATCAAGCTGTTCATGGAGCAAGGGTTCAGGGAGCACAGTCACGCATAAAAAACCCGGCTTATCGACTCAAGGGATTACTTGCCGTTCGGGCTTCAGGGTGTCCGGGACCGGTAGAATCGCCCCAGAAGCGGTTGTCTTTTCTGCTAGGCATATCGAGGACATCCTCAACCGCAGCCACAAGGACTCCGGTTGCTCTGGGGGCCTCGCGATGTACCTTCCATCGGAATCTGGAGAGAAATTTCCAAAGACCTAAGTCCGTTCAGTCAGTCTTGTCCAAGGTAGTACGTACTACATGCAGTGCGAGCACTACCAAGCTTCTGCTGCCTCTGGTGTCACTACTCCGACTAACTACTACTCCTCCTGCTGCTGCTGTGGCCCCGACCACAAGTATTATGCCTACTTAGCTACAATGCAACTGGGACGACGTGCCTGCTGCAAGGAAGCAGGACGACAACAACGACGCGACTACATGCAAGCAAGGTAATGGCAAAGTTTATGAGTTCACATTGTCTGATGAGGAGGCAGGAGGAGGAAGAGGAGGAGGGGGATGGGTCGACCAGGATCCTAACGCTTCCAAGGGTCCGGGCTTTGGAGTCCTTTGGTCGTTTCCCAAAATCTCACACCCTCACTGCCGGCCTGGCCCTTTCCTGTTAGTAGGGAATGGAAGAATGGTAGTAATAGTAGTTATAATGGTACCCCATTCCTCCATTCCCTACTAACCGAAGGTAAGTTTCCGACAGACAGGAGCTCTTCTCACGCCTGGATGCTTGGATGCTGGAGAGCTTCGCACCCGGCCGAGCGACTGGGCATCATTCAGCTGACTTCCCGCACCTTCCGGACAGGCACATGCCGGAGGCTTTTGTTCGGAACGCAAGAGTCGTAGCAATGAGTAATACAGATGGTTCTATTCACCAGAGGCTAGAAGCCGAAGTAAAACCACGAACGACGCAAAAACAAGCAGCCACGAGCATCCTTAAACACAAGTCCCATTATGTTCTCATGAAATCAACTTGCGTTAAATCTGCGATGTGCCGGGAAGAATTTACTTCCGGCTAGAAGCCCGCAGCGAAGTGGGCAAAAGCATAGTACAACACCTGCATTACTCCCTGTAAGATGATCCGGGGCTGTTCCAACTCAGGACGTTTTGACATGAAAAAGGAATCTGCTAATCTGGTAGCTCGAAATTGGAACGGAATGTCAAACACCCTCCAGGTCGCTTTCTTAGACGAGTTCCGACCTGCGACGTCGAGTGGACACAGCGGCACCCTGCCTTCTGAGTTTGGCATTTGGGTATATTGTAATCATAGTGTACTTATTGATAATGAGGAACCCTGAGGATCATTTTGGGCCATACAACCTTGACGTTTGTAGAACGGGGCCTTGGCTTACCCACTAACCCAGGCCTTTGGTATGTTGTTTTACTGTTTGCAGAGGGGTGGCGGGTGGGGTTTTCAGTTCTAGTCAATTCGTTTCGGAATTTGAATGAAAGATCCAGGAGCGAGAGGAGCCAGGCGGCACCGTAACATAGGGGCCTTAATAATTGGAATAGGGTTTTGGGGCCCATTATACTACAATTATAATAAGGAGCCCCCAAACTAGTATAGGTGAATAAGACGGCCCCTGTGGTACGGCTCAGCCTGCCCGTTGAGTACCAGATGGACATATGGTGCGCGGGCCTTTGGTTGATGGTTCACACAGGGCAGAGACCCTAGAGACAGTCTGTGGGGTAGTGGGTCCGAAATCCAAACCTGTTCCAAGAAGTTTACACCCAGGCACTTCACGCCTGTCGAGTCGTTGGAGTTGTGCTATAAGCTGTTGTTGATGAGGCTTCTTGCAACGAGCCACGAGCCTGGGCCAGCGCTGTAGAAGTATACCAGGAAGCTATACCCGATTACAGTCTTCACAGCCACCTTTGACATCCTACAAGCAAAGTCCGTTCTGTAAACACCCCAATTTTGCTAATTTTCATTTGGAGAATTCCAAGAAACAACAGTTAGAAGGCCCTTACAATCGAAAGTCAAATCATCTTAAAACATCCTGTCGAAACTACAGAAAAGCCTTTCGAACCGTTGCCAACAAGCCATATGGCAATTCTGTAAAGCCCTCATACAGCGCGACAGCTGTCTATCAAACCCTCCAGAATCAGATCCTTTAGAAGCCCTACGCAACCCCTTCAACAATCCTGTAAAGCCGTATAGCACCGTATAAAAGGACCCCTAAACCCTAAACCCTTTTCCCTACACCCAAGAAAGCCAAGGCCGACCCAGCTCTTCGAGCCACGCACCTTCCGAGAGGCCCACCCCTAGGGGTTTATGGGTTTAAGGGTTTTGGGTTCATCCTTCCCTATTCCTTAATTAAGGGATATTAGCGTCTCCGGGAAGGATGGTGCAATTGAGCCATGTTTGTTAAGGGCTTAGGGGGTTTATGGGTTTTGGGTTCATCCTTCCCGGAGACGCTAATCTCCCTTAATTTATATTCCTGAAATTTATGGATATTGGAGTCTCTGGCTTTACAAAACCCCAAACCCGAAACCCCAATCGTCACAGGCCTCGCAGGGATTGTCTGAGTCCTAGAGCCGAAGTCACAATCGTAGCTTTGGGGGTTTTCAGAATATAGGATGACGTAATATGATGCAGTGTTTTTCTGGAGGGTCCTTTGCAGTGATTCTAGGTCTTAGATTTTCGGCTTTGAACTTTAGTTTGGAGGTTTGCGGTTTGATTGCAAAGAGGTTTGGAGTTTAGTTCTGAGTTAATAACACTGCATAGGTATGCATAGGTGAGGTTCAGGCTTCTTATTAGTTTATTCCATGGCGTCTGAAGCAGCTGGAGCCCGGACTGATTATTCATGTCGTGATGCTCCTACATCTTCTATTATTACGACCTGTTGCCGCAGACGCTTGTGGGAGTTGCCCTGTGGATCCATAACCTTGTCGCAAGGACGGTGGGAGCTGGCGCAAGCGACAAGCACCCCCTTCTCCCCAAAGCACAAATCTCGGGGCCTCGGGCCCTTGATAGCGATACGTAGGCTAGCAACCGTCAGGGGCAATCTCACTGACCTTCCTGTCGCAACTCGAACTCGGTATCCCAGGCGACACTCCCACATCGAGTGCTTGGGCCGCAAGAGACACCTGAACCCTTAGCCCTAGACCTTAAATCCAAAACCCTAAACCCTAAACCCTCGCTTTGAGGAGCCCCCAAAACCCTGTTAAGCAGACCAATGCTTGGTTTGCAGTGCAGCCTCGATTTTGTGTCGTCGTGGTAGCTGTAGAAGTACTGGGTTGTCCTTTGGGGTCTTTTTTTAATTTCCCCTACCATTTCGTAGAGAACCATAATAGTAAATCATTTTCTAAGGGCTTAAAGGACAACTCAGTAGTGTCGGCAGTAGTTGTTGTTATAGTCGTACGCTGAGCAAGTCCCGCTTGTGACGCTTGTGGTTAATGGTTCTGCAAGATGGAGAACTGTATGTAAAGCTACAGTAGCTAGCAGCCAGCATTGCCACGACTCTTGCAGTACTCGTAAATCCCAAGATCTGCTCAAGGATCTCCAGCACGGAGGACCCCATCGCCAGATTGATGCTGGCCGAGAACACCGAGCGAAGCAGGTGCTCGGCTGTTCTCCTTGCTGTCCTTGCTTCTGTGCGATCCCCAAAAAGTCTGCGACCACGGAGCAGGTTGCAAAGACCAATGGCAAAATTTCACTACCTGTTTCACTTCGGATCCCCCGCGATCTGCTAACGTATGGTCTGTCAAAATATTCAATCACCGTGTGCATCCCACTGCTGTTGTAACATTCCTGACCCCTAGGTGTCCTTCCTGTCGCAGCAAGCCCATATGAATATCTCGAGCTTTCTGACGTTCGCGCTTATTACTGACTTGGGCGACAGCGACGTTTTGCAAAACTTAAGCCCAGAGACTCCAATATCCCCTAATGAAGGAATATTCCTTACATCCTGTTAGGGATCCTACTATAGTTTAAGGTATATTCCTTAAGTAAAGGATAGTGGAGTCTCTAGCTTCCCGGATTCCAGGCCTGTCATGCCAACGCTGATACCCGGCAAGAGCAAGGTCTTGGACGATGTTCCTCGGCCAAATCGTCGTGTCATATGAAGAACTGAGGAACCACCGAATCCACCGCATCACAACAGAAACTCTGAATCCCTGTGTCACATACCCGGAGCCCATAGAAAGGCATAGCCTATAGTAGCTGCTCAGGTATACCTGTCAACCCTAAACCCCAAGCCTCGGAACCATGCTGGCTCAAGATCACTGTCTCGAAGCGCGATTGTCCATCGATCGTGAGTTCAGTTGTAAGCTTGCTGGTGTCCCGTGACTTACCTTTGCTAAGTAGGGAATGGAAGAATGGTAGTAATATAGTAGTTATAGTTGTACCCCATTCCTCCATTCCCTACTAACCAAAGGTAAGGTGAAAACCTTGAGATCTCACTTTGCCGGCATACACTCAGAGCCAGTCTTGAAAAGGCTTTGTCCCAACGTTGAAGCATGAAAGCATGCGCAGCTTGCGGGTCGGTTTGGAGTTCCCTGCACATTCCCATTCCCAAAACCCTCAACAAGTCACGAAACCTTAACACACCAAACCTTGAACCCTAAAACCCTAAAGCCGAAACCCTTAACCGGGTTCCTGGGATGTTTGGCAAACTGGGCTGGACAGCTTCCGTGGATGTCCGTGGTTTAGGGCTTATAGTTTTTATGCGGGTTCTTGTAAGGGAGCTATTTTCTACCATAGGGCTCCTTGAAGAGTTTTTAGTACGTTTTAGGATTTAGGGTCCAGCGTTTGGACGGTAGGGTGCAATGTTTCGGGTGCACATGCTGCTGGTCGACACTGTAAGAATGCACAGACACCCTATGCTCTAAGGCAATAGTGCAAGAATTGAAATTATGACGGAAGCTCGCAAAAATCAGATACTCACAGGCCACGCCCGCAAGGATTTAGGAAAAGGGGCGCAAAGAGAGAATCAAACGCAGAGATAAGTTGATGTTGCAGCGCGAGCGGATTAATCGGTGCGGGTTGCGATCATGACGAACCCTATTTAAAGGCTCATGGGACTTAGTAAGTAAGCTTATAAGTAGTCATAATTAGGATAACCCCACTTAGGGGACTTATAACCCCAATTATAACCTATACTTACTAAGTCCCATGATCCTCTAAGTATTCACCGTGTACCCGAACTTTCACAGTCGGCGGCAAACGGAGCCAAGGAAGAGCACGAGAAGGTGGCCCTGGAGAAGTCTAAGATACGCAAGGAATGGACCGAAAGACAGGGATCGAAGGTGGCGTGTCGGCTCTGACTACTTTCTTAATATTAATAGGGGTTCGGCTTCAGAGAATGAGGGCTAAGGGTACTACTTTTTGAGATAGTGGTTCGGCTTAAGAGAATTAGGGTTAAGGGTATTTGGGGCGGTAGCTGTCTGTTTTTAATGTTGAGTGGTTTTGAAATGTGGGGTCTAGGGTACTTGGGTAACTGATCATTCATTGCGTCAGCCACTAACCCAGTATTGTTCAGGTAGCTGGAGCCGTACAGTGTGGTATAGTAACCTAGACCCTGGATGTTACACATTCTGTCTGCTCTGTTTTGGGGTTCTTACAGCCATATATGGGTTGTAAACTCAAGGTGCTGCAGGCCAGGGTCCAGGCATGTTGTCGCGATATCACCGTTAAGGATGCAAGTTACAGTTTTCAAGCTTCAGGTTGTCAAGCATCTTCCTGATCATCGTTTCCCTGTCGTTTTTCATGCTCAGTTTATGCTCGTCTCTTTGTGTGTCGTCATGGTTGGTGCTTTGTGTAGTACTTGCGTAGCTTACAAGCCTCCAGGGTCACTGCAGCTCGATGGGGCTGTTCCAAGCCCCACTTCTTTGGGATCACTACCTTCTCCTTCGGGATCCTAGGTCCCCAGCAGTGAAGCATTGGCCATCACGGAAATGCCGAAATAAGATTCCTCAGGTGTTGGAGAACTCCTTCGAGGTCGACAAAAATTTTGGCGGCAAGATTTCGCGCGAGCTGTCATTGGCTCGCACTCAGACCCGTATTCAACAGCCTACCCCCAACTTCGGAGGTTCGCCAGCCAACTCGTACACAATACATGGCATTGAAGAAGAACTGGGACCCTGAAACTAAAGCCCATAGCAGCAGCACTCCATTCCGGAAACCACGCGCAGGAGCAGCTGTCTTTACAACAGTCTAATTTGAGGAAGTCTACCAATACAGAAGCACTAGTCATTGGGGAAGTATACTATACAGTAACCTGAAACGGAACGCTAAGGAATAGTATCCATATGCCGGTTGCTCTACTCCTGCTAGCCGCTTTCAATGCCAAGTGCTTTCAAGACATGAGAAGGCTCAAAAAGGCTCATGTATAGATTGTTGTTTTCATGTTTATGTTGTATACTTACTGCTATTATTGCTATAGTTTACAATGTTTAGGTTTCTCGATTAAAATGTGTCAAAATAAAGTGTCTGCTAACATGCTCTTCAAAGACCAGAGGTATAGCAGCTTCGTCATCCCGGTCGTCATAGTCATCGTATAGTTGTGAATTGAAATGACCGCAACTTCAGGGAGCGCATTGTGGACTCCAGCCGCTTTGAAGCCGTCTTCTCTGTCGCGCTTCTCACCAATGCGCTCTTCATCGGCGCCTTGCAGAAATGTCTGGTGTCTGGTGTAGGCTCCAAACCCCAGAACCGCCGAGCCCTACCCCAACTCCCCCAAAACCTACGACCGCAAACCTAAGCCTAAGCCTAAGCCCGAACTCAATCCCGAAGCCCTGAACCAAGGCTCAGCTCTAACTTTCAGGTCTGGCTCCGCATCAGTTGGCCTCATCCAGGGATTAGGGCTTTAGTCCCTGAAGCCCTCAATCGTGCAGGGACCTCAGTGAAGCTTCGTCTCCGAGGCATCACACTACAGCTTGCTGCCGCAATTCGGCGTCGATTCAGACGAGAGGGAGTCAGAGGGAGAATCACTTAGAGGATCATGGGACTCAGTCACTTACATCCTACTTACTTATATCTTTACTTACTAAGTCCCATGAGCCTTTAAGCAGGGTCACAGCCCGACATGTGTGGAGGTTCGGACTCAGTAGTTCAGTCTGCGTTTTGGTATCGATGTCAGGGGTTTGAAGAGGCTTTGGCAACTGCTCTGCGTAGGTCGTCCAGTGTGCCTAGTTCGCAACGGTGAAAACTTTCATGAAATCCTCGATGCCAGTTGCAATATGCATTCTTCTGCATCCTCTTGAGCTTGCTTGTTTGTTTGTTCGATTCATTTAACAAGTGCAAGTTTACTGTTGCATGTACTGGCACGGCGGAAACTTCTACGAAATGGCAATTTCAGAAATCTGCGCATGCCGGGCGCAAAGGCCGCGAACCGATTGGCAAGCAGAGATGATGATGACGATGATGACGCATAGTCACATGAAGTCGCAGCATAGCAAACCCGTAAACTGAGCTAACTCTTGAAACGTAAATCTGAATCCGACGATGGAAGCATCGACCTCTGACCATAGGACCTCAGACGCATACTTGGCTTAGTACTAAAGTGGGTAACCTTTAATTTTTGTGTGGAAATATGACCCGTACGCAATCCTAAAAAGGGTTAACCAATCGTTCCCTTAGGATACTACACAGCAAAGTTGTTGTTGTTATTGTTGCTGTTGCTGTTGCTGTTGCTGTTGTTGTTGTTGTTGTTGTTGTTGTTGTTGTTGTTGTTGTCGTCGTTGTTGCTGTGGTGTTCAAGACGTGGGGGCTGCTTCCGGCGGCGATGCAGTATCAGTATTTGTGTCCAACCGAAGCGAGCCCAACCCTAAAAAGCCGCAAAATGGAAGCCTGAAGAACTCCCATATCATTCCACAGGGTTCTTTTACTATAGCTATACTATGATACCCCCAGAATCCTATTCTAGTTGTTCAGGCCCTTTATTACACTGGTTAAGCTGATGCGTTGTCAAGCCTTGAAGCCTTGAACCCCTTTCACCCCTCAGACGAGAACACGGAAGTGAGCCCCCACCTGTATCCCCCTTCCTTAAGGACGAAATGAACCCTAAAAGGGTTTAAGGTTCATATACCATATAGGGATTCATAGTATATGGGAAAAGGGCCCCTACTTTTAAGGGTCATTTGGTCCTTCAGGTTAGGGCCGTTTAGAGGCTTGGGGTTCAGGGTTTAGGGAGGTTCTGGCGCATGCCTCGTTAAGTACAGGGTTGTACCTTCGAAGCGACATGTAACTGGACCCACACCTTTTCAGGGCTCCGTTTTCATAATTTCATATTGTCACTTTACAGACCTGTCAAAACCCAAGGCCTTTTGATTGGTGGCGAGAGGTCCAAAACACTAAACCCCGCTTAGGCACCCTTAAACCCCTCTAACTCCAGAGACCCCGGCAGTTTGCGAGGACAGATATGGAGTCATGGCGGATGCTTCCTCTGCCTTAGAGGCGCTTTTCTTAGGGTTAAGGATTTTTTCTTGGCTTTCTTCAGGGTTGAGGGGCACGGGTCGAGTAGATGCAAATGTGGGTTGGCGTGCTTGTACTTTCACTAGCTGCTCCGTAGATTTTGTTTTGTGAAAATTAGACATAATAAGCCCATGGGGCGACTTAGAGATCGAAAATCGTTCTGGGCTAAAGGGGCTTATCATGAGTTAGAGGCCCGGTTACAGTTTTGGTTTTGAGTTCGTGTTGGCAGGGTTCTTCGGACTTTAAGCAGGCGCCTTAAGAAGCAATTCTAATCTTCTATCCCGATAGTTGGACCATGGAGTCCGCTTGTTAGGGATATGCGGGCTTCGAAAAGTGTGGTGGCACTTACTGGTTCCTTTGTTGTATGTCTAGTGTGAGAACTTTCAATCATGGAGCAGGTTGAGTTTCAAGACAAGGCAAAACATCTTTTTTATTGAGTCGGTTCGAAATATGTATCAAGGGTTTGCTCTTATTCGCTGTGATCTGTTATTTCACCTGTTCGCACCGTCCCTTCGCTTCGTGCTGAGCATTTCTCTGGTTTTAGGGCCATCTGCGTGCCCACCAGTGTGTTTTCGGCAAGTCTGATGAAGTGGGCTCTCCGTTCAACTTTAAGTTTAAGTTACTGGTATACTCGTCAACTAACCCTGGAGCCCTGATATAAAAGAAAGCTTCTTGTTGCAGATCAAGCTTCATATGGCGACGGCTGAGCTTCCTGAGTTCAGGGTTCATGGCAGAGAGGGTTCAGGATTTAGGGATGGGTTTGGACTAATCAAGCCTGTGGAAAAGGGATGGGTTTGGACCCATATCATGGCATGTCAAAAAACCCCAGCCTCATAGCGCCCTTAACCCTAAGTCACAGGGACTTTTAGGGAGTTAGGGTAGGCCTAATGAGGTCCTGATGATGGGCATTAAGGCCCCCAACCCCCCCTCCCCCTACCCCCCTTCAGGGTCCCTATGACTAAGGCGTTTATCAGGCTTGTCCCAGTTGTGAGTGCTGAAACCGTTTTATCATCTTGTCATCGAGGCAAGTCATCCTTGTTTAGAGGCTCCCTTAAACTATCTAGTAGGATCCCTAATAGGATGCGGGAGTGTTCCTTTATTCAGGGATACTGGATTCTCCGTTTACATCCCGATAGTCCAGAAGGCAACTTCAGTCATCACAGATGCCACAACAACAAGGCTGACGCAGTGACGTAGCAACAGAGTATGCCATACCGCTTCTACTGAGTTGCTGTGTCTGCCTTGCGACGGTGCGGATGCTGCTGTGAACTTGGCGGAACGACTACTGCTGCCACCACCAGCAACTGCTGCTGCTGCCTAGGACCCGGAGTACATACTGCAGGCCCCAAGTTGGCATTACTAGTATGCTTGGATCCATCGAGAACCTTCACTCTTACATGTGCGTATCAGGGTCATTCTGTACAACTTGATGCACAACAGGCATTCACCCCTGTCGCAGGAAGGTCCCGTAGTGACTGCGATTCATGGGATCTACGCAGCAGCTCAGTCGGTTTAGGGGTTGCGGGTTGGTTGTTCAGGCTTTAATTTAAAGGGTTTCACGTAGTGGGGCTGTGTCAATTTTCTTTGAGGCTGCAAGGGCAAAGGGATAAAGGCTTTGTGGTTTTGGTTTGGAGGTTTGGGCTAGCGGCTAGTGGGTTTGGGTTGAGGTCCTTTAGGGTTGTACTTCGGCTTCGAGTTGGTGTTTCAGCAGCACCGCATGCCTGCAACACCGACTTATATGAACAGGCCAGGGGTTCGAGAAATGAAGTGTCGGCTTTGACAGTTCAGGGTACTTCGTCGTGGCCGGAAAGATGGATGTGTCGCAAAGACTTCCAGCAGGTGTGAAGACTTCGAGATTTTCCGATCCCATAGATATATCTCGAGAAGACGGATGCTACTTCCGATGGAGGTTGATATTCATTGTGGTTGAAGGGTCTGTCATGAGAGTTTGTATCGAAACCTTGCTGACCGCTGAACCTTTGCCCAGTACACATTCACTGAGTCCCGGCATCAACCGGCAGGACTTGGACAGTCGCCAGTCCAAAGCCTAGGATGCCCAGTAGTACCCTTATTCCTTTTTTGTAGTCCTAGGTTCCTTTAAAGTTACCCAATACCAAAAAGAGAGGCCTTTTTATTCTTAGGTTACTGGGTATCCTAGATAGTGACCCTTTATACCCTTAAAGGAACCCTCAACCCTGAAACCCTAAACCCTAAACCTCTCTTAGGTTACTGGGTATCCTAGAAGCACTTGCGATCCCAGGTGGTGTTCTTGATCGAGCTGCTGATGCGGATGGGTGCCCAAGGCCGGTCTCTGCTCCTGTTCTATCATATGGGAGTTTCCGAAAATTAGGGGTTCCTTATTTTGGGGTCCTTATAATAAGGATCCTACTATTTAGGGGGCTATATTGGGGTCCCCTATTTTCGGAAACCCCCACATCGAGGTCGTGCAGCCGTTGTGCCTGATGCCCTGAACCTAAATCTTGCGCCGATTTTGGAATGTCTGCCGAAGACCAGGCACCACTCGAAACCCAATGCTCCAAGCTTGCAGATCCAAGCCCCACACAAAACAATGATGATGATGATGATGATGATCGCAAGAGCGATGCACTTAAGGTCGTACGCCTGCGGCTAAGATGTACACTTTTCGGCTGTAAACTCAACTTTTCAACTTTTGAGGTTCTCATAAGGCAGTCGATCCTCCTTGGGTTTCGGGCCAGTGAGTAGAGCTTCTAATCATCACAGTTAGTTCGTTAACCCTGCGGCCGGGTCTTGCGACTTGCCACCCCTGCGACGATTGCCACGAGTCCCCTTGGAACCATATCAGAGAGAGCTACCGTCTATGTTGTCGCAGGCAGAGTTGTAACATACAGGAAGAACCATTCAGTGGCATTGCTAAGTGGCATTTGACTATATAAATAAATGTGTATATATATATATAGATATACGCACACACCTACATACATACGTGTATAGACATACATTCATACATGTCTATTTGTTGTCGTGTTAATGTATATGTGTATATACATACATTTATATGTATATACAGCAGATATATGGAAAGTTGGACCATCAAAAAGACAGTGCACTAAAAGGTCAGTCGTTCTTCTGCTCGTACGATCGGGCCAACCTGTTCTGGAACTACCTCGATGCTGCGCCTCCTTGCATTCCCAAAATATCCGAACAAGGTTTGAGATGCAGTCTGGATGGCTCGGGCTTTTGGATATTCGGAGCGTTCTTACATGCTACCGCTACTGCTGACGTAAGCCCCGTTGTGAGAACTGTCCACAACGGACAGGCACGCGCTGCACAGAAGTTCTTGTTGGCAAACGTCGGCATGTTCAGTCCGCAAGGCAAACCTCGTGGAGCCGGTGGCGCTTAGTGCCATAAGAGATGTGAGTTTCCAAAAATGGTGACCCACGGCATCCGTTGGGTTCAGGGTCTAACGCCTTCAACTAAACCGACGCAAGAGTGCCCAGGTGCTGGTTGGAGTATCGATAGTGGAATCGATCCTGGTGCTGGTGCTGGTTGAAGATACGGCCTGCCGCCTGAAGCAGTCTCCCAAATGTTAAGGTAAAAGGTTTGAAGCATTTATGTATATATATATATATATATGTACGTATACACATATATATATATATATGCACACATTTTTTATGTATTTGGAATGTTGGAGAGCTTAGGGGTGGGGTTCAAGGCTTCAGACAGGTCCAGACGTCTGTAAGGTCTTCTGAGATGCAAGCCGTGAGCAATGCGAGTTCTATGTTTTCCGGTCTGCTTCTTTTATGCACTCCTACTGTGCTGCCGTCGAGAGCTTCGGCTTCTTTGCCCTAGCAATGTCGGAGGGAAAGCTTAAGAACAAGGCTAACAACTCAGACCACGAATGCCCGAAACGATGAAACACTCAAGGCATCTGATCTTTCCTGTCTGCTCCCGACTGTTGCAGCAACCATAGAGTAACATGAGCCCAAAACCCTGACGTCCTTCGACAGGAACTTGGTATGTCGAACAAGCTGCGTACCATGCGAATCGTGCGCCTTACTCGGCTGGTGCGGCTGCTCCGTGCGATTCGATTCTTTGCAGGCCGGTAGTTTTTAGGAGTTGCACATCATGTGATCGTACCAGAGCCCTTGTTTTGGGGAATTGATCCTTAAACTTGTCCGGCATTCTCTTTATCCCTCATTCGGTTCGGAGTGCAAGGTGCCAGAGACGTGCGAAATTTTTCGGGCTCCAGAAATCATTAGAGTCAGTATAGAGTATATACATTCGGCCTCGGGAAGCACGACAGCCTGATTGCATTCCGCATCATGGCTCTTGGGTTTAGGGATGCGGGTTTAAGGTTATAGTTATAGGGACCCTTAGGGGGCAGAGGGAAGGGGGTAGGGGTAGGGGGCCTTAATGCTCATAATAAGGATTTAAAATTTTAAAACGGCCTCGTTAAGGAAGTATAGTCCCCACCCCCCCTCCCCCTTACGCCCCTAAGGGTCCCTATGATTTAGCACAAGGCCGATGTGCTCTCGATCTGGATAATCTTTACTTCGCACCACAAAGCTGTGCGCACCTAGTTTAGGGGCCTCATATAATGATTACCTTTACTATTTTTGGGGGCTTCTTATGATATTTATAGTATAATTGGCCCCAAAACCCCATTCAATTTATTCAGGCACCTACCTTAGAACTGATAAAGTGTTGACAAGCAGCCTCTCGTGTGCGGCCATGCGCAGGCCTCCGGACGTTGATCTACTCCATCTTTTACACCTTGAAGCTTGGGCAGGCACAGAGCAGTGCGTAGTCCGCAGTGGCTGAGCAAGTAACATCGATGTGGGAGTTTCCGAAAGCTAGGGGTACCTTATTTTGGGGTCCGTATATATAATATGGATCCGAGCCTTTAGGGTACTATATTAGGGTTCCCTATTTTCGGAAACTCCCCTGTATCGCAGGGGAGACTACCGACTCCATGGCTTTTTGTGCCTGCTCCACAGCAATTTTCTTGATCCTCGATTGGGCAATAAGGCTACTGACCACATCGCTAGCAAGCAGTGGCGAATGCAAGCCCTAAGCCCTATGCTGTTCTCAGCATGCGCTTTGCTTGTGAGGCTGTAGTAGTGATGGTGGCGTTGCGGTTCTCTAGGTCATGACTGCACGGAAGCTGTGACAAGAGCCAGAATATAGGGGCCTGAATTGTTGGTAACAGTCTTCTCTATAGGTTTCTCCATTGTCATATGATTTGATGAATCCCCACACCCCATTCTGATTATCAAGGCCCCTACATTCTAATGAGTTGGCTCATACTTAAAACGACGAGTCGCCAAGGAAAGCTCTGGCATGGTCTTTAGTCCTGCTGCTTCTCATGATGTACGTGTGGCTCTGCTCAGAACTGGCTTTTTGTGGAGTTTAGGGTTTAAGGCTTAGGGGTTTAGGGTTTCGGTTTGGGGTTTAAGCCCTGGGGTTGAAAGAGGCTCAGGCTTCCGAGTCGAAGGGAACCTAGTATAGGGGCTTCAATAGTTGCCTATACTATTTTTTGGGGGTTCCTTGTTATAAGAAGTGTAAGTATACTATAGTTGGCCCCCAAACCCCATCCTAATTATTAACGCCCCCTATATTAGACCTACTCTGACCGCTTGATGAGCCCACTCGGTTGCGCAACTATGTGAGCTTACAGCAGCGCGACTATTTCTAGAGTATTGACAAGACTTGATAAATCATTTGTTTCTCTTACGCGCAGCCCAGTGACGACCGAAGCGTCAAAGATGAAGGGTTTCAAGGCCTTGCCGATCCTGTTTCTGAATGCCTTGGCGGAGTTTGCTTTTGCTCTTAAACATTTCATGGTCCGGGCTGAGTCGAGCCCTACCCTAAACCCTACACCCCTATAAACCCTAAACCCCCAAACCCTAAACCTAAACTAGCTGTCATCTACCTTAAGCTGCCCAGCTCCAACTCTTCTCGAGACATGTCATGCAGGAGATGACCAGTTTCGGATCCAGCATTTCTCGGGACTAAAATATAAGAGGCTGCATATTAATCCATATGATTGCTTGGGGTTCCTTACTGCGTAGTCATACTACAACGTACCCCCAAATCATACTCTACGTGTCAAGAGGCCCATGCTCGGAAGCTTCCAATGTCAGGAATAGAGGTTTAGGATTGATTGCACAGGGGTGGAGCTCGGGCGAAGGTGTTGCTGTTGGTTTCTTTTATCGGGGAACTTAGGACCTTGCAGAACGAATTGGCGGATCGACGCTTTAAGGTTGTATCCGCTCGTTCGTGGTGCTCAGATATCTCTCAGGCTCGCAGCCAACTGCAAATCCAAATCCAAGGTTGGGCATTTTGTTGACGGATGCCACGCTGGCCCACGTGATCAGATATGAGAACTCAACCATGACACCTGGGGCAGGGCTGACAAAATTGACTTAAGTTTTGCATCTAGAGTGGTGGGTCATGGTGGGTCCGCGTGCTTCCAAGGCAGCTAAAATTGTCATGGCAAGCAGAGCAGGCACTTGTCAGGCATCATTGCTTTAGCCTTTGTTGCCCCTCTGCCAATTCTCCTGCATGGTGCAAGAGCAAACCTCTTTCGAAATTCAGTATACGTGCAACAGGCTTTGTTAAGCTTCCCGATTGAGACACAAGCAAGAAACAAGAACAAGCAACAGCCATCATGCGAAACAGCCACGTGGCTTAAAATTGGAGTTCGAGAAAGCGGAAAGCCCCAAACGCTAAACCGCATTCGGGACTGTCGGTCTCCTCATTGTTCTGGTCCGAAACCCGTCGCACTTGCTAGCTAAACGTTTTCAGGGCTCAAACCCTTACTAATCGCTTGTTTCCTAGGCGGCTCGGTGTTTTGTCGGCTTTGTATTCGGCTAGCCAGCATTCTGACGTAGGATAAAGCCCTATAGTAATCTGCTTGTGTTTCTGTTGGCGCTTTAGCAGGATTCCCGATTTGGGATAATCTTGAATTTCCTTCTTCGTGTAATATGATAGAGCTCTAGGTTTGAATAGTTTAGGGGACTCCTTGTTGAAATCGACACCTGATTAAGCAGGATACCCGATGACTCCAACGACGGCGTGCTCTACAGCCATTTCGGGACACTGTGCATGCCCCAGAGTCGGCCGTGGTGGCTTTGGTTATATTATATGACATTATTGGTGTCTGGGTTGGCAAGCGCGGCAGCCCCACTTCACGAACCTGGTGCTTTCTTAGCTCTTTAGATCAGACACAAGTAGCGGCGATCACAGGTGAAGGCAACGAGCTGGGAGACGGCCTTATGTAAGAGGAAGGCGCAGCAAGTCCACACATGTGTAATCAATTCTTTTTATGCCAAAGGATAGTCGGCACTTGCTGCAACTTGCTGTTCGAAAGGACCTAAGACCCCTAAACCCTAAACCCTTCCTTGCCTGCCTTGTGCGAGTGTGAGCGTCGAAACCCTAAAGGCCTCGTCTGGCTTGTCCGAGTTGCGAGAGCGTAAACCCTAAAGGCCCTAAAGGTCTGCAGCTGAAGGAGGTTAACAGCACCGAGGCACCTATCCATGCACACGCTCTTCCGCAGCATCACAGGAGGAGCTCGAAGCTGTGCAGATGCAAAGCACAAAAAGTGCAGTCATCTAGCACTAACTTATTTCCCGTAGAAGCTCAAGGGCTTGCAGGGCACCGTGCTACTGTAACTAGGAGAAGTTACAGATAAGGGAGTTTCCGAAAATAGGGGACCCTAATATAGTACCCTAAATAGTAGGATCCTTATTATAAGGACCCCAGAATAAGGTACCCCTATTTTCGGAAACTCCCATAAGAGTTTCCAGCAATACCCTCCTACGCCTTGTACACCTGTAGCCATCTGAAACCCGAAGGTCTGTATTTGGGAGCTTCCGAAAATTGGGGGTCCCTTTTTTGGGGGTCCTTATAATAGGATCCTACTATTTAGGTTCCTATATTAGGGCCCCCTGTTTTCGGAAAGTCCCATTTGGGGCTTAACCCTAAATACAAACCGTCGGGTTTCAGGTATAAAGGCTGAGGAAAGCGTTGGGTTCGTGTTCACTTTCATGCCTCGCGTGGGTTGTCGTCATAATGAAACGCCAAAACCCCACAACTGAATAAGCCATATAAAACCCTGCCTTCAACCCTTTTCAACACCCGAGCACAGCCTAAACTCTACACTCCTCAACCTTAGACCCTAAACCCCTAAACCCTAACCCCTTAACCCCTAAACCCTATGCCCCTGTCCGAGTGTGCGCGCCGAAACCCCTAAACCCTAAACCCCGGGCAAGCGGCCCTGAACTCTACACCCCTATTCTTAAACCCGAAACCCCTAAACCCTAAACTTCCAAAGGGCAAGCAGCCCTGAACCTTAAACCCTAAACCCCTAAGCCCGAACCCCCTCAACCCTGAACCCCTTAGCCCGAAACCCTGGGCAAGCAGCCCTGCAAAAGCGCCAGGAGTGTAGTGTTTTATAAAACCGTAGTGTTTTATAAAACACTGCAGCCCTGAAAAAGCGCCAGGAGTTGACTGGTCCAGCCTTGCCATGGCTCTGGCGCCCTTGAACTGGCGACTCGGCTTTCTTGAAGGATCATGGGACTTAGTAAGTACATGGGATCTATAGGGTTCCTTAAAGGGATCTATGGGGTTTAGGGTTTAGGATCTTACTTCAAGGATCATGGGACTTCGTAAGTATACGGTTTGGGGTTCCTCTTCAGGGTGCTATAGGGTTCTAGAGTAGGGCTCCCTTTAAGGGTTTGAGGCTTTAGGGTCTACTAAGAGGATCATGGAACTTCGTAAGTACATGGTTCCTTTTAAGGAACCTGCAGGGTTCTATAAGGGGAGAGTTTAGGTTACTTAAAGTATCACGGGACTTAGTCAGTGCAGGGTTACAGTACCTTTCATTGTGGGGTCTCTTCGTTATATTGCGACTATTTGTAAAAACGGCGCATTTTTTTATTTAGGGGGGCTGAAAGGTTTCGGGCTTTAAGGCTTCAAGGTTTTGGATTGTGAGGTTTCAAGGTTGCAAGGTTCTCGGGTGTTGTGTTCCTGTGTTGGGGTTGGGTTGGGGTTGGTACTCCCTAGATACTGTCCACGCATCATCCCCATAGTTGTTCCTTTCTGGGATTACCTTATATAGGATTCTATGTATGAACCCCCAAAAGGAAGTACAATAGGGGTTCCGGGCGCTTTCAGGCGTTCGGAGCTACCTTGAGATGTAACGAGGACTAGGTCACTGGCAAAGGGCGGTGCCCGTGGTTGGCTCCGACAAAGCGCAGTTGAGGAGTTTGATCCTTCGGATGTCCAGGGACCGCGTTAGGGTTTAGGGTTACCTAGATCTAGACCCCCCAAAGTAGGTAAAATAATGGCTGAAAACCTATAACAGGCTATTATTCTACATACGTTGGGGGTCCAGGAAAGGGTTAAAGGCACAGGCCTCATGAACTGCACTGAGTGCCTGTTGCTTGAAATAGGGTTTTGGGGTAACCCTAAACCCTCGCCTGGATTGTCCGAGTGTGAGCGCCGAAACCCGGTAGAAGTGTTAAAGACATTTGGGGCATAAACTTACTTACAAAGTCTCAGATGAGCCTTTAAGTTTATGACGCAATTCCTGCCTAAGGCCTAGGATGGTCTAAAATCAGCAAAGAGCATAAAAGAGCATATCCGAAAGAGCACAAGCGCCAAAGAGCATAAGCAAAAGAGCATAAGCACCAAAGAGCATAAGCCCAAGAGCATAAGAAAAAAAACGAAGCAACAACAAAACATACACAACTTCGTTTGCCTGCATAACCGCATAGTCATATATGTTGAAGTGGTATAGGGGGGTTATAGGCAAAGTGTACGTGCTTCTTCTCGCGTACCTCATGGCGTTATGGCCCGTTATGGCCGTTATGGGTTGTTCTGGTCGTTGCTGTTGGCCCCGCTTACACTAAAATTTGATGCTTCTGCTTATGCATTTCTGTTCAGGGCATGCTGATGCTAGAACTATGCTGGGTGGGGCGGGGGGGGGACAGTTTAAGTAGGATCTTTAGGACTGTGGACTTGCAATCCAACAACCCTAAGCCCTGCAGTTGCTGGAATCCGTGCCTGCACTGTGCGTGCTTTTGTGTCGAGCCCTGCAATGCAGCCAGCTTCCTTGCTAAGCAGGAGGCTAAACCCTAAACCATAGAGGATGTTAGCTTTGAACTTACCCCTAGAATGGCCTTGTGCCGGCATTTGCAGCCAGTTTTGCCCACTTTGCCGCAAGGATCTGGGTCTACCTGTTTTCTGCAGCTTGGCTGAATGTTCCTAGGGCGGAGCGATTGTAAGATGTGTCCTTACAGTATCTCCCCGCTAAGTTTTCAGTGTGCATTCCTGTCGTGATGTTGCAAATCTAGGTTGTCTGATCGCCGGTTACCAAGCATGGCATTCTTACAGCGCAGTGAAAATCCAACATCTAGGTTTCAGGAGCCACAACATGATCCATTTGACCGAGCAGCTGTGGCAGTGGTACTTCCCAGTCGTACAGTACCTAGAGGCTCATACCCTACCCCTTCTTTAGGATACCTAATTTTATGGTTAGGATCTGTTATCTTAAAAAGTAGGCGCCCTAAAAAAGGGGTAGGATATGAGCCTGAAGGTAGGTATTTCAGCTTCTTGCATGGGTCGAAGCTCGTCTCACGCCTCTCTCTGCGATCCGCTGCGCCTTGCTGTAACCTTTGTGGGCTTCTTTACCCATAGCCTATGGCCCCAAAGTAGTTCCTTTTTGGGGTTCATATATAGAATCCTATAAGGTAATACCAAAAAGGAACTACTTTGGGGCCTGTGGGTAGCCCCCCGCCTAAAGGTTAAGGTTAATCTTCGTTGCCAACTAACAAATCCTGCCTTCAAACGGCACCTCGAGCAGTTTCATGCTTGTCGATGTTGGGCCATGTGTTTGGAGAAACCGCGGTTTTCGTGTGAGGCGTACATCGCATTTTGCCTGTTTGCCGTGCTCAATGTGATGACAGGCACGCACCTTCAAGAAGGATTCATTGATGGTTTCCTGCTGTTGGTGAAGATTTGAGGGATCTTGCATGCATCATTGGGGACTATATGGAGAATTCGCGTGAACTTGATACTTTACCAGCACTCTCCCCTGGTCTCCGATTCGCATCTCGAAGCAAAGGGGCGATCGTTGGCTTTGGTGCATCCCTGAAGGACCAAATGACCCTTAAAAGTAGGGGCCCTTTTCCCATATACTATGAATCCCTATATGGTATATGAACCTTAAACCCTTTTAGGGTTCATTTCGTCCTTAAGGTCGGTCACCACCGTGCGCTGCAACATGAGTTTGCTTGTGCTTTACTTAGTGAACGGGGGAGCTTTAAACTTTTTGGGCTTCTATATTAGCTCTATCTCGGAAAGTTTGAACTTTTTGGGGCCCGGTTGTTGAAGAAGCGAGTTTATGGTTTGATCTGAAATCGAAAAGGCCTAGTTCAGGTAGTCAAACTCTTGTCAACTGATGTGCCATTGCTGCAGAGGTTCCACGGGGATTCAACATTCTCGCATGCCCCAGGCAGGCAAAGCAAAGCCACCAACCAAAATACATGTGTCCCCCTTATGTGCGACATCACGGGGCCATCATTCATTCGCCCAGATGGACATCACTTCATGTCAGAGCATCTTCTCCAGCGGACGGGGGCACAGCAAACGCAAACAGAGGCCACTGTGGTTCGCATTGGACGGTGATTGCGCTCTCTGTCTTCTAGAAAACAGCAGGTACGTAGGGTCCCTGCTGGCAGATACCAAGGGCAAGGTCTCAAACCCCCCGAAACCCTAAATTCGCACGTCAGCATATATATTGAATGCAAGCAAGAGGTGTTTTCTGCCAGCGTGCCACAGAGCTGGCGGAGAAAGACCACGACGCACAGCTTCTGGCAGCTCGGGTTTGATCGTCAGACACTGCAGATGTAATATGGGGTCGGCAAAGTCAAAACAGTATCCCCATCTAGTCCCCATACAAGAAACTTACAACTTACAATTGCATCCTCAAACGCTTCTGAAACTAAACTACTCGAATCAAGGCCTTAGGCTCCGTAGTTCTACATTCTGTCGGGCTTTCTCTGGAGCCTGGGGGTAAAGTAGATGGTCTCACCCGTCTTGCCCGAATGAAGTTGATGCACGAAAGCGCTAGGATTGCAGCCAAGCCCTCAATGCCAGACCTGCTCTGAGAGGGAGGGAATGTCGGAATGCCTCTGCTGATAGATTTCTGGTGCCATAAACGTTTGAGTTTCGGGAGTTGAAGGGCTCGTTGAGCTTAGGACCGTCGGATGCCCTTAATTAACCCCCAGCTAATCGGAAGTCCTAAACCTCAACCCTAAACCCCAAACCCCGGGCATTGCGAGGAAAGAGCCAGGAAAGAGCCACCTGCACCTTCAACAACAAAACGTAAACCGTAGCTCGTAACCTCCCCCTAAGCCTTAGGCCCCATAGTAGTTCCTTGGTGATAGGATTCTGTATATGATGCACAAAAAGGAACTACTTTGGGGCCTATGGGTAAGCCTGAGCCTGCCTCAACTCGATGTCCGAATCCCCGAAGCCCGAACGAGAGATGACTAGAGCTGGATAGCGGAGAATATGTCGTAGAGGTTGATTGTAGCACGGTGCACTTTAAACCCCATGCTGGCATAGTGATAGGTGTATATGTGTGTGACATAGACAGATAGATAAACAGACACATAGACAGAGAGCGAGAGAGAGCGAGAGAGAGAGAGAGAGGGAGGCCCTGCGAAAGAGAGATATAGAGAGGGATTCTAGCGGGATATCGTTATACTCTATACCACCTGAGTCTTAGGGCTTGCAGATGGAGAATGAGCGCGTCCGCATGGAGCCTCCGGGCTTGCAGAAGGGCTGGCCTCATTCGTTGAGATTCGGGGTGTAGGGATAGGGTGGAGGGCAGAGTTTATAGGGGTTTATAGGGGTTTCAGGCGTTTAAGATTTCGACGCTTAGGTTTTTTAAGGTTATGGGCTTAGGTTGCGGGTTCAGTGATTCAGCGTAAGGATGTATAAGGAATTTGGGCTCTGCACAGGCTAAGTGTTTTGTCCTGGGAGATGCATTGCAGGCCAGACACGAAAATGCATTTAAGGTTTGGGGTTTGAGGTTTAAGTTTTGGTTTGAGGGTTCATGTTTTATAGGACCACATGGAGGTTTGGGGTTTTAACGTTTAGGCGTCATGATCTTTTCGGGGCTTCGATTGGGAATGCTTGGGATGCGTCTCCGTTGATACATTGTGTTGAGGACAAGCAGCCATTTATCATTTAACTCTACATCTTCCCCCAGGAGCTACATCGCTTTAACTCGCTTTTGTTATGAGGGTGGGCCAGGCCCTGCCGAGCAGAAAGGGCCGGAAAGTCTTCGGGTGTCAGGCATGGGGCAGCTGCTGGTGTGGACTAAACCCCTAAACCCCTAAAACCCCTAAACCCCTAAACCCCTAAACCCTAAACCCCTAAAACCCCTAAACCCCTAAAACCCCTAAACCCCTCTACCCCTAAAGCCCTAAAGCTTGACATCAAGGTTTCTATTGAACTAAACTCTGAAGACTTGATCCCCATAGCTATATATGTGGGAGTTTCCGCAAATTAGGGGTGCCTTATGTAATTTTGGGGTCCTTATTATAAGGATCCTACGATTTTAGGTACTATAATAGGGTCCCCTATTCTCGGAAACTCCCATGTGTGCGCTGTGGTTGCAGGTTTGGAATTTGGGTAGGGGTTTGGAGTTTGAGAGTTTAGAGGTTTAGGAATGAAACCTTAATTCGTGTCATGTTGGAACTGAGGGGATAAGGGGGTATCGACCCTGAATCGTAGGGAGGGCATCGAAAACCATCATCCGGATGGTGCTGCCCAGTGCACAATACTTGCTAAACCTGTAAAACGGGCCCACAACCCTGAAGCCCTAAACCGGACCGTGAAAGACCCTGATCACCAAGCCTAGAATCGGAGCCATAACCTAAATTTTCAGGAACCTCTTCAATTGGTGATCCCAAGGTGTCGAAACCTTTTCCGTCGCTTCGATGTGGCAAAGCAAGGACCGTGCAGTGCTTAGAGGGAAGGCTTTGAGAAGGTTTTTGAATGGCTTCGCTGATTCTCACTTGAAACGTTCGGGTGGTTTGGTTGGGATTTTCTCAAGACTCTTATTTGTAAAGGTTGTAAGTACGCATATATATATATATATACACACTACTGGGGTTGTAGAAGGTCTTTTAGTCTCTTAGAAGGTCTTTCAGCCACGTTACCCGAACCCACCTGCATGTTGCAGCCAGGCAGAAAGGCTCCAAGCTACACCTGAAGGGCGAATAACAAGGCCATTCATGTTGGGCCCAGGACTTTATCTCCGAACTGCACCTGTGCGACTATAGCCCATAACACCATAAAGATATAGACCGCGTTGCTAGAGAGAGACTGAGGGACAGCCCTGAACGAGAAACCTACACCCTCAACATCCGAAAATTAGGGGTATCTCATTTTGGGGTCCCTATAACAAGGATCCTATTGTTTAGGGTACGATTTTAAGGATCCCCTATGTTCGGAAACTCCCAAATGGCTCACGGAGATCTCACCAGCGCCACATCGCAAGCGGAGGCTCCCTCACACTCCTTGAGTTCGAGCTCATGTTCCAGCGTGATGACATCAAAGCGTCCCTGCAAGTCCTGGACATCGCCCGGCTCTCAGCTTGTATAAGGGCTTAAATGATTGCCAATACTACTTTAGGGGGTTCCTTATTGTAGTTATGGTCATGGTATAATGGGCCCCAAAAGCCTATTCTAGTTATTAAGGCCCCTATAGCTCGCTTCAGGGCACATGGTCCTGGCCCTACGGTTTTGGAGCATCGGTTGACTCCGACCGGCTTTGTCGTTTTCGGCAGCCTTATTGTGCTGTGCAGGACATGCTCTGACCCCCCTACATAAATCCGAAAATCCTAACCTTCCCAGCATTCGTTGAAACATGCCTCGGCATGAAAGGAGGTTTCCGAAGCTGACGCCTGGCGCTGCTCGGCAGTTTGAGAAGAATACTCACCAGGAGTACGAAGTATTGTCCACAAGCGCTTCACCCTAAGCATCCCTAGATGCCTTGCGAGTGTGCGTGTGGAAGCATCTCTAAATCCTCAGTCTTGTAAAAACGATATTCGTTTGTCGGTTCACATGCGTAGCAGCATAAGGAGTCTTGGCCGGTCATTTCTGGGGGGTTAGAGAAGTTTGTTTCTTGTTCGCCTTTGCTGGCTGCTTGTTGTCTTCGAATCAGATGCTCGAGTGATTTTTCGAACCGCTTGCCAGAAACCAAACCCCAAGCGGCATGGAGGGGGCGCGGCTTGCTGTCTTGGGATTACAGAGTTGAAGCGAGCGTTCCTTGCCAGGATTCAACTGATGCGAATGTTGGTCCCTCTACCCTCCTGCTATATACTTATGAAGCATTTAGGCACACATGTTCTCCTCACCGAAACTGAAGTGATTGACTACTGTCAGGCAAAGGCTTATACATGAGCCACAGTCGGTACTAAGGAGTACTAGGGAGGGACAGAGGGCTCTATGAAGCCTCCTATGACCTATGAGGGTATAAATACCAAGGAACCAGGTGTTTCGGGTGCAGAATGATAGCCTGCCACGACTAGCTGGCCACTAAACGCTTGTAAGCAGTGAAGTCTCCTGATCATGAGTGGCAAAAGAAACAGGTAGCAAAATGTGTCAGCAGCAGCGCCAGTGGTGGGGGTGCCTGGTGGCGCTGCTAGTGGTGTTTTTTGGTGCCTTCTTGCTGTTGTTAATGTTGACTTGGTTGATGTGGGACTAGGCAGGCTGGGTAGAGAGGCAAGTAGCTAGGTTGGCAGGTAGGTGGGTCGGTGGGTGGGCAGGTCAGGCGGAGTGGAGTCCGAGGGCACAGTGTTGTATGGTTCCCTGATCCAGATTATCCCTCTGCATGCCGTGGCTTGGTCGAAAAGAAAGCAGTTGTTACAGTTGCGCGCGACCCAGATGGCCTCCCGCATTCAAGTGCGCCATGCCAGCAGCTTGTTCTCCATGCGGGGATTCGGATGAGGGTTGGGGTGCACTCAACAACGTGGATGAGGTGGAGGTGCGTCGCGCCACGCAGATCCCCCAGGCAACTTTCTTGCAGCTACAAGATGATCTTCACGCTGAGCTGGCGCGCATCCATGCTCGGCTGCGGCGAGAAATCCAGTCGGATTTGGGACGTATCCATGATAGGCTGGAGATGGTGGAGACAAGGATGGGCATCGAGAAGCCACAGCCTAGTGCAGATACTGAGTATCAGGACACAGGAAAGCAGCGAAACAAGTCCAGCGAGCCCGACTTCGACCAAGTGAATCTTCAGGTTGTTCCGGACGCCGGTGCTGCCGATCCACAGCCTACCGGAACTGATGCGTTTCCGGGTGAGGTTTCCGAGATCCACTTCGAGGAAAGCGTTTGGAGCATTGCTATGGTGCTTGGTCTTGTGGACGTCGGCTTCTTTGATCGGCTCTTCGCTGGAATCCTTGTGCTCCTGAACTTGGTCATGCAGGCGGCCTTTTCATGGGTTCTCTTCACGGCCACTTGACCATCACAGCAGCCTGTTTTGGTGTAGCGATGTGTTTGGCTTGCGCTTCCAAAGTAGGCACCTGTCCTGTCGAAATGTGGTGGACTCTTTGCGCGATGAATGTCGGTGCTTGCGTCTGAGTCGAGTCAACCCTTACATTCACAAAGGCGACTTTGTCGCGCAAGTCCGTCGTGTAGTTCCCATGGGGCATATTTGTTGTTGTGTTTGATACAATGCCGTTTACGGCAAGGCTCAGCGATTTTGCATACACGGTTGGCGTTCAACTCAGCTTTGAACCGAGACCGGTACTAGGCGCCCGTGCAGCAGCTATGACGACAAAGTGTTGGGTGAGCTACCTGCTCCAAGCTAATCTCGCGCAATGCCTCTAATTAAGTATGGCATGCCACGTGGCCGTCTCTCCGTGTGTTTGTTTATGTTTTCGAATGCTCTCTCTTATTCAGAAGAACATCTAACCCCGAAACCCCAAAACATCCCTGCACCCCAAACCCACGTGTTGGAGAATTTGGTCCTGCGGCAGTTGCGGCCCGTCCATTTAAATCAGTACTTATGACATACATAAGACATAAAATACCATGCTGAAGGAAGAGACGAGCCATCGGACAACTTAGGATGCATTCGTTGGCGATCACTTCGACGGCAACGTGCAAACTGCCAAAGCTTGGCGGACAAGTGTTGCACACGACTACAGGTACATGGACCTGTCCCAAACAAGCTTGGTCTCCAGAGTTTGCTCAGGAGACGGTTCATTGATTTTATCCACAACCCAGGCCACGTTGGTGGAGCACATCAATAGCTTCCTCGGTTTGAGTGACTAGGATGCCCAGTAGTACCCTTATTCCCTTTTTCTAGTCCTAGGTTCCTTATAAAGTTACCCAATACCAAAAAGAGAGGCCTTTTTATTCTTAGGTTACTGGGTATCCTAGGTGAGATGGACTTCGGACACCCAGCCTTCCAGCCCGGTGTCCTCTTGTGTATGCTCTGCATCATTCTGTGGAGCCTGTGCGTCTACAAGGACCGCACACGTTCTAGTGCAAATGCTCGTCCGTTTCGTATACTAGTATACCATGGGCACACAAGTGTTGTTGCGACAAGTGCTGGCAATGCTCATAGACCAGCATAGACCCGCACGAAGTCAAAGCGGTCCAGTAGCCCACGCCCCAAAACCAATCAGCAAACCTGAGCATAAGCATACAGATACACACGCATGTACATGTACATTTGCATATGCATGCACATACATGCTTACACAAATACCCGTATACATATACATACTACGCATACAAATACACACACACACACACACATGCCCACCTGCACATAGGCAGGCAGGCAGGCAGGCAAGTATCATGATGTAGATACATAAACTTATGCTTACATAGTACCTACCTACAAAGATGCATACGTACGCACCTACATACATACATACATACATACATACACACATCAGGGTGTGTATGTGTGTATATGTATGTGTATGTATGTATATATATATATATATATATATATATATATATTTATTTATTTATATAGATACAGATATAGATATAGATATAGATATATAGATGTAAAAATGTGTGCACAATTTCTGCGTATGCCATGTACCGGTACAACGTACAAAGAGCCTGTACAGGGCATGTTGTGTTTCAAGTAGCTCACTGTTCCGATGTGGAAGTTTCCGAAAATAGGGGACCCTAATATAGTACCCTAAATAGTAGGATCCTTATTATAAGGGCCCCAAAATAAGGCACCCCTATTCTCGGAAACCCCTATGTGGAGTGTGCCCGTTGTTATGCCAGTTCTGCTTAACATAGTCATGCTTCGGTATCACCTGGTATGTAAGCACCTTTCCGACGTACTTACTTTGTGCTAGTTTCTCATGCGGTATGTGTTTCGTTCGTGGTTTTGCTGTGTGTGTTCGTCATTTGTGGCACGTATGCATATATGCATCTGCATGCTCTGTATGTAATTATGCATATTCATAAAATGGAGCAAGCATTCAGTTTCAGTCTTCGACGACTGCTTTCCTGGGTCATGCCTGCATTGCATGTGCGCCGCGTAGGAGTTCCGCACGATCTGGCTGCAGCTGGAGGCGGCTCTTAGGGTGCCCAAATCTCGCACAACCGTTTTTCGTGCGAATTCGTTCGAATGCATCCAGGTTGGATTTCGGGACATTTTTTATTTTCCTTATTTGGGTTCATAAGGGACCCTATATATATACATATATATATGTATATTTTTTTCTTTTTCAGGGTGTTTAAAGGCCAACCCAGGCATTTCATGGGGGCGTTTTATCATGCTTCTGATCACGTACGTCGTTCGGGTAGCCATTGCGTCGGTCTTGCTCTTCGGCGGGATTCTCTGGCTGGCGCGAACAACATCAATTGAAGAATTGATGTTGAATGCTGTTGCCCTGAATTCTATTTTAGATGTTGACGAGTTTCTCTTCGCTGGCATGGCACCCATCAAGATTCAGCACGCCATACAGAGCTTGACACCAATCCGTATTAGGTACAGTCGTTGTCGCAGCCAGCTGGAGTCGTTGGTGCATTTCAGTGCACTGCTGACTCTCATCCTTTTATCCTATTTTCTACTGCTTGTACCCTTGAGTGATGCGATGCTGGCTGTCAAGACCGAGCTTTGCGGAGGCATCCAGCGGTTCGTCGTTTCCTACAATGCAGAAACGCAGATGACAATTGGACTGGCGACAACGGATTTCGACGACCTGCAAAACTTGTCCTACAGTCAGACTGTGATCCGGGCGCATAAAGATTCTGTGCCAGGGATCCCCTCCGAATTAATCGGCTTTGCTGCCAACCATGACAGTTTTCAGTCTGAAATTTCGCGCACCATGCAAGAAGAGGCCTCGCGGTATCCGAGCTGTATAGAAACCGAAGTGCTGAAAGAGGGTTCACCGTACTACACAGACCCAACGCTGCAATCGTTGGCTGCCTTACTCATCAACTCCGCAGCAGGTGCTTTGGGACGTGCCGGTGCACGAAGTTGTCAAGAACTACAGGACAAATGCGACGATCCAGACGCGCGTTTGTTGCGGATGGTGTGTGGTGAGACATGTGGTTGCATTGATCCGTTCAGTTCTCCGTGGTACAAAGTTCCAGCACAAGGTTGTGCTGCAGCTTGCCTGGAACTTGGGCGGGCACAGTTGCAGAACCATTCCTGCCAGGATATGCCTGTGGATGACACGTGGCGGGCATTCTGGGCTCAGTATGGGGATGTATTGTCACACTACTTCGGACAGCCAGTGGAGACCACTCAGGCATTTGCTCTGGTGAACCAAACCCTCCCAGTCTTAGCCGTGGGTGGATGCCCAGTTCTGGCGCAGTTTCCTGTAGACTACATCTCTACCACCGTCTGGTGCGAGGGCACCTCTGACCTGGTCCGTCCATTGGCTTCTTTATGCCCGCAAACATGCGGCTGTGACCGACCATCGCCGAAGATTTCTCAGCATTGCCCTCCAAGCTGCAGCGTTGCTCGAAGCAACGCGTCTGCGTGAGTCGGCTCTGTCTCACTTCAATCTGCCCCTGAGTGCGCAGCTACTTTCATAATGGGTTCCATGGCTGCAGGTCCTATAAGATACGACTTATACGATTTACTCATACTCATTATGTGGGGTTTCGGGAACCGCAAACCACGATATAGGCATAGTTTGCGGCACTGGCTTCTGACGGCAGCTCTGTTGAAAGATAAAGACGGAAAAGCTTTTCCTGACTGGTGGTGCGCGGTACGATACTATAGCGGCCGTAACCATTGGAATCGGGTTTTGGGGCCCATTCTACTATAATTATAGACTAAGGAACACCCCCCAAAATGGCATTCACCCATCTGAGGCTTCTTCCGACTGCTGGACACGGATGGGGACGGCGACGTGAGAGAACAAGATTTTACCGAAGGCGGCCTTCAGTGAGCTGTTACTGTTCTAGTAGCATAGCACAAGATGTAGCTGTGTAGCTAAACCCTTACACAGCCAAACCCGCCCTTTCATTCGATGTGCGTGTGCTGTTTGTTATGTGTTGTGTGCTGTTTGTTATGTGTTGTGTGTTGTTTGTGCTGTGTTTTGTGTGTTGTGTGCGTGTGGAGCGTATGTTGCACGATGTAGAAGAAGGAGCAGCCCGGGCAGTTGCGAGGTAGCAAGTCGAAGGGGCTTGTTGTCACACGACAATCTTGTTGTTCATGACTACTAAGACTCAGATACATGCACATCACTACCACTGGCCAAGGTAGATCAAGACCCGGCCGCATGTCACTACCGTACTGCCGCGACAATAGGCTCTTCCAGACTTCGTGGGCATCCGGCCACCTCGAAGACTATTGCTGGACACTTCCCGAAGAACGAGGGCAGAGGAGAGTGATAGTAATCGGCATCCGGTTCTCACACTTGTCGTTAGCCTGAACTGCAGTGCATCCTACAAACTTATCTCTGCATAGACACGAAGGCGTGACGTCGGTGTTTTGAGGGATTCGCTTAGAGCAGCTTCGTCTAAACCCTAAAACTCCATGTGCTATTTAAAGCAAACACTTCTTAGACACAGGTATGAAACCCGTGTACAAGCCGTTTGAAGCCCTGGTCAGACCTTATCGCGTCGTAACATCCCCCTGCCGCAAGCCCTGAACGCTTAACCCGAAACCCCAAACCCTCAGACCCGAAATCCTAAGCCCGAACCCTAAAACGCTGAATCCTATGCCCGAAACCCTGGATCGCCAGGCGTTCTGCATCTCCGGGGCCCCGCGCGAACCATTGATGTAGCCTGCGAAGCCGAGGTCGGGCAGGGGGTCCGGGAGTCTAGGATTTAGGATTTGTAGGCCTTAGGGTAAAGGGTCCAGGGTTTAGGGTTTACGTATAAGCCTTAGGGTTAAACGGCTTAGAGTCTAGGATTTAGGATTTATGGGCCTTAGGGTTTTAGGGTCTAGGATTTAGGCCTAGGGTTAAACGGTTCAGGGTTTAGGGTGGTTTATGTTCGCTGGCACACAATCCAAGCCCATGCTGAAAAAAGGGTGGTTTATGGTTAAGTTAAGGGCCCATGTGCCATACAGAAGACTTAATGGATATATACTAGTACTGTTCCGCAGGGCTCCCTAATAAAAGTCTTCTGTTTATTCAAGCCCCTGTCTGCATAGACTCTAGACTCCGAACGTCCCCGAATCAAAGGTCCCTTGCGACAGGGTTCTACAGGGCTTCACAGGTCTTCATGGTTCTATAGGGGCGTATTTGCTGTTCACAAGACCTGTCACTAGGTAACTCCTAAACCCTAGACCCTACCCTGAACCCTAAACCCAAACCGCTAACTCCTAAAGCCTAAACATTGGCAACTATGAGCAAGAAGGGTCGTGAGGATTCTTTTTCAGCTCTGATCTTGTAGCCAACAAGCTGCTATGGGAATGAAGCTGTGTACTTTACTTCTTGGTGGGCTCAATCTTTCAGCCTGCGTTAACTGTCCAACCAAGTACCCTGCAATGTGGGCTTCGTCCTTGCCAAGTAGGAGCGAAAAAAGCCTAAACCCGGAGTTCGGGGCCCCTTTTGAAATTGGAGCACCCTCTGGTCGCTCTGATTCTTTCCGGGTGCAACCAGAGGAGACGCATGGGCTAACAGAGGAGTCTGAATGTTTAGATTCAGGGTTTTAGGGTTTAGAGTTTGGGGTGTAGAGTTTAGAGTTTAGGATTCAGGGGTACTGTCCCTAATGTAGCTGTATATAGTTCCTGCAGCAAACTCTATCCCTAACGCTGAAACCGAAAGCCTAAACACCAGAGTACCAGAGTAGTATTCTTAGGGAGACCCCTTAAAGGGTACCCCTTCTGAGCCCTACTTCTGGCTCTCTTAAAAGGGGCCTTATTGAGAGGGTCTATACCCCCTAACCCTAACTCCCATAAACAGTTCTCCCAGGCGGATCGATGGGGACCCCTACACTGTCATGGGCTATATAATGGGTATATAACAGCTATATTAAGGGTACCTACCCAGGGGTCATTAAGGGTCCCTCCTTTTACCCTTGGAATCAAGTGCTTGTAGGACACCCCAACATAGAACCCTAAACAGCTTGATCCTTATCTTCAGGGCCGCTGCACAAACCCTAAGCCTCTGAAGCCTAAACGCCATATGCCTCGCCTGGATTTCCCAGGTGTCAATGCCATGTTTTGCAGAAACTTCATCTCTGATCCCTGCATGTTGCAAGCAACTTCATGGCGGCACATGCCATTTTTCAGAGACATGGCTCAGCATATTGCTACCATGCGCTGCATTGATTAAAGCTGAATGTCTGAGAACTATGGGGTAATCGAGTTCTTACATCAGGGATCTATTAATCCTACCTACCTTCGTCCCTCCTTTCGAGGCCTCCAATAGAAGTACCCGAAACGCCAGAACTCGAAGCTTGGACCCTCAACCTGCTTGAAGCTGCCTCTTCCGAGTAGGGAGCGACAAAAAAAGCTGCCTAAACTCCTAAACCCTAAACCTCAGTAGAAGAGCTGGTAACGGGTAACCTTTAACCTCGGGGGGGTTATATAATTCTACCATGATTGAACTGGTTCGCTTTTTCTCCGGGCTCGGGTACTCAGCCCCTAAGAAACCCAGCTCTCTCTGAAGTCGCGCTCTGCGAGGACAACCGTCGGATGAAAGCCAAGTTGGGGCAGATGGAGGCTCAGGACGCTTTGGGTCGGAGGTTCCTTGTTGTTTAGGGTTCAGGGACACTTCGGCGAACGGAAAAGGAGCATCTCAAAAAGCAGGGTTTGGGGATGACCACATTTTTTTGTAATCTGGGATAGCCGTGTGGCACCGAACAAACAGCACAGTTGGCGCCTCGGTTCCTGGCATATGCATAGTCCAGGTGTCAAAGGATTTAATTTGAGGTTGAGGGGTTTAGGGTGAGTGCTGTTTGGAAGTGCATTCCGGCATAACATACATACGCGCGTACGCACGTTCTGTTGTGCATTCGTCCAGTCCTTCCTTTCCTTCCCTCCCATCTTCCTACATTCCTTCCTTCCTTCCTGCATTCCTTCCTTCATGTCCGTTTCTTCCTGCCCTTCTTTCTGAATTCCTTTATCCCTTCCTTCTTTTGGGTTTTTCATTCAGTCATTCAATTCAAGCATTCCTTCACTCCTTGGATTACCTTACTCATTTATTCATTCATTCGCTCGCTCTCCATTCCTTCCTGAATGCATTCATTCCTTCATCCATCGCATGTACGTATGCCGGCTTGTATGCTGGTAGAGTAGATAGGTGGTAGCTGGTAGATAGGTCGGTGGGCGGATGAGTGGTGGGTGGGAGTCGTGGAATGCAAGCATATACTCACACATACACAGAGACATGCATGCATAGTTGCATACGTGCATTTTGTTTTATACAAACAGACTTGTATGATGGCATAGGCACACCAGGCACACATGCATACATGCGTACATACATCTATGCATGCATGCATACACACATACTGTTATATGTGTATATGTATGTACACATATGTATATTTACATGAACATGTATATGTATCTGTGCATGAACATGTATATGTATATGTGTATGTGTATACATTCACATATATATATATATATATGTGTATATATATATATATATGAACACGAACCGCATTTAGAATCAGATCAAACCTTCAGGGCGTAACAGGACTTGACCCGCACTACCCCTCACTCGCATTCACAGCCCAGAGCGTGCAGGATCGACAGACAGCTTCGGTTCTGCGATCACTGGCCCTGCAGCTAACGTGACTTTGTCTCAACCCTCCCTGCCCAATACATAAACCCAATGACCTAACTCTGCAAAGATGGCTTCTTGTGATGTCGAACAAGAATCCCATTCCGGGATTTGTGGCTGAAGGCTGTGAGGATCAAAGTGGACATTTCAGCTCTTTGCCATGCTGTTGGGAAGTTCCTTTAGTGTCAGGACGAAGTTGCGGTTCTTTTGTCTTTATTTCCGTGTGTCTCCGCGTCGCTGATGCTTTGCATGTATACCGGTCTTTCAAGACCAGGTTTACAGACAAGTGAGACAGTGAGACAAACCCCCCTTCCCTGTTTCCTTACTGCAATAGTCATTGGTCTCATTAACTGTGAGCTGGAGATGTTGGCGATGCCCTGCCCCTGTAGGCGCACACGTACATGCATAAATACACACACACATACTAGACGCGCAAATAATTAGTATGTGTTTTCTTTGTTTATATCTATGGATGGACCCAATGGATGTATATAAGCATACATGCATACATACACACAGATCCAAGTGCGCGATATGCCAATGCAATCCCAACGTGCTCATGTACATGGCGCAGTTCGGAATAGAGCTATTCGAAAATCTACTCTCGAGACGCGTGCAGAGCCGAGGCATATTGGGCAAAGCATTGAAGACCTCCGCAGTGAAGGAGTACTGCACTCTACAGGGGTTGCTATATCGATTACTCTGCTGCTGAGGTTTGCAATTCATTATTTCGGGAAGTTTCTTAAAACTTGAAGGCTTCAAAAGTTAGGTCACGGTGGATTGAAGTTTGTCTG